CAGCTCCAGCTAGCTACTCAACTCCAGAAGGGGTAAGAGGAGCCCAAAGAATAGGCAAATTCCTAGATGCCAAATGATGGGTTACTAGGGTTGTAACAAAGACTCCTAATGAAGCAAGATGTTCCTGGGCCAAACTGTCCATTCTGGGCAAAAAGTACAAGCCAAGGTCCAAGGTGGGAAAGGTCGGACAGTCACACAATTAATAACCCTGAGCAGGGATGGATTTTTGCAAAAATGGCAGCTGAGAGAGGGAGTAGTTATTCTACCTTCCTAAAGCAGCTCAGCAGAAGATACTGGGGTTTGAAATCAAGCCTGTCCAGCTCTGAAGCCTGAACTGTCCACACACAACTCTCTCCACACCATCCATCAAGCAATTCCACCAAGCTTATTCACGACAGTTAGCCACAAAAATTGACACCCCTCAAAAACCCTGAGCCTCATACCAAACATGCCACTCTGTCCTTCCCGTCAAGCTTGGATAGCTGGGAAAGGATAGGCAAGTAGAGAGGAGAAAGAAGAAAGCCAGGTTTTCTTCAAATGACACCAATTATTCACTACCACCTCCAAGTCTAGAGAGCTTTGAGTTCCCTAAAACCCCAAAGCTAAATGACACCTCATCAGCACTGTATCTGACCAGTGAGGAAACTGAGGTGCAAAAAACATAGAAAAAACCTATTGTGGTTCATTCAGCAAAACCCAACCAACCCACCGGAGCTGGAACCCAGACAACCTGACTTCAGTGCTATATCCAGCATCTTCCACCACCTCAGCATGTATGTCCCCTTCTTAAAGAGTTCTATGGGGTCCCCAAGCTCAGAATGCTTACAAGTCATCCTTTCAGAGAGTAAGCGCTCAGCAAGGAAGCCATGCCTGAAAAGGAACCCCCGGACACCACCTCCCCAGAACCTGGACCCCAGCTGTCAGACAGTAGAGGTATGTTCACAGAAATGGAACCAATATCCCCTCTGCCCAAGGGATTCAATAGGCCTCCAGGCTACAAAACAGTCTTGGTGACAGTTTCTGATCAAGATTGGAGTGGCAGAATGACGCTCTACTTCCATCATTCTCAAAAGGTCCCAAGTTGGGCCAGGTAAGGCGAGGAGAAGAGGAGCAACTTCTTCCTCTTTATCCCAAAAGTAGGGCAGAAAGCCTCTCCATCATCAGAAAAGGCAGGTATCACAAGCCCATAAAGTTTGACTTCCATGTTCTTATGGGGCAAATGTGAGGGTGGGACTATAAGGTTGTAACGAAGTGGCTTTTTGCATTACCATGGCAGCAGTATACTTTCGTCATCTCTGTCCCTGAGAGCACGAATGTATGGCTCCCTATTTCTGTAGGGGAGAAAGAGATTTTTACCCCAACCATGGAGAAAAGAAACAACTCTTGGTTCTGGCTCCCTGAGTCCAGATGATTTATCCTGCTAGAAATGATGGGTAGCCTGTAATCCTAGCTACTCAGGAGGCTCAGGGTTTGAAGCCTGCCCAGGAGAAAGAGCTTCCAAGACCCTATTTCAAAAAATATTCATCACAAAATAGGGGTGGTGGAGTGGCTTAAGCAGTAAGAACACCTGCCTTGCAGCAAGTGTGAGGCCTTGAGTTCAAACCTTGGTGCCGCCAACAAAAAATACAAACAAGAAATGATGAGTGGGGAGGGGACAAAAACAGTGAACTCAAGACCAGGCCTGTCTCTGTAAAAAACACAGAGATTTACCTGAGCCAAAAGGGAGAGGGAGCCAAGTGCTGGTAGCTCATGCCTGTAAATCCTAGCTACTCAGGAGGCAGAGATCAGGATCTCAGCTCAAAAAAAAAAAAAAAAAACACCCATGGCCAAAAGAGGTCTGGCCCTGAGTTCAAACCCCAGTTCTGCCAAAAAAAAAAAGTGTGTGTGTCAGGGGGGTGAGTGTAAAGTGGGGATGTCCCAAGCCCCTTTCCTGTCCCTGAGAAGAAAAATGCTTTTCAAAAAGCAAGTTCAGAGCAGGGCACTGGTGGCTCATGCCTGTAATCCTAGCTACTCAGGTGGTAGAGATCAGGAGGATCGCAGTTGGAAACCAGCCTGGGCAAATAGTTCTCAAGACCCTATCTCGAAAATACCCAGTGCGAAAAAAGGCTGGCAGAGTGGTTCAAGGCACTGTTGGTTCACACCTGCAATCCAAGCTACTTGAGAGGTGAAAATCAGGACGATTGTAGTTCGAGGCCAGCCAGGGCAAAATAGTTCACGAGACTCCTTCTCCAAAATAACCAGAGCAGTGCTGGAGGAATGGCTCGAGTGTTAGAGCACCTGCCTAGCAACCATGAGGCCCTGAATTCAAACCCCACTATCACCAAAAAAAAAAAAAAAAAAACAAAGGGGAAAAAAAAAACCCAGAGCAAAATGGAATGGAGGTGCAGCTCAAGTGTTAAGAGTGCCCACTTTGTAAGTGGGAAGCCCTGAATTCAAACCCAAGTCTCATTTTAAAAAAACAAAAGTGGTTCAGAACTTAGATTATTTTCTGGACCCTGGAAGTGGGAAGCTAGCATCGCTGAACAGTATCAGAATCTCTCCCAGTTCCAGAGCAGGCCTCAGACTTCTTGGTCCCAGGATCTGACAATCTTCTCACAGAATGTAGGGGAACCTTCTTGGCCCTCACCTGAGGTAGCTCAGGGTAAGGGCTTCTTGTGATAGACCTGTGGAGCCCCCAGGTTCTCTGTCCAATGGAGGAAACCTCCATTGAGCCACACTCAAGATGACCTCATGTCTTCCTCTCCCTGTTGAGAAAAGATCACCTAGGAGGAGAGCATCATGCCCAAATAAGTGAGAACTCAAGCATCAATCCCTACGTCAAAGGATCTCTTGTCCCTGAGAATGGCTCAGGCCCCTAGAAAGAGGCCCAGACTCTTTTCCTCAGAATTCCACCCTGCCCATGTGTCTGAGGGGAATAGGAGACTTAGACCCAAGTCCCCAAGGCAGGAAATCCAATGCTCCTAAAAGGCCCCTGGGGCTGGAGTATTATGTACTTTGTCCCAGGTGAGCTGGCACTTCCCTCAGGACAGATTCAGGTCCCAGCTCCTAAAGAGGGAAAACAGGCTCTCAAACATCTGAGGTAAAGTTTAAACCCGTGGGGGTAGTCTCAGGACCCTATATCCATCCCCCAAAGAAGCATGTCAGGACTCAGTTCTGGTGGGGAGAAGTCCTCTTGTCTCTGAGGAAGTACCTCAAGTTTCTTGAGGAGGAAGTTTCAAGCTTATCTTCAGAAACACAACAGCCTCTGGGGTGGTGTATAGGACTCCTGTCCCTAAAGGTAAACCCAAATGTCCTTAGTACAAGTACAGTCAGTCTCAGGCCCTTGACGGTAATTTTAGATTCACAAGGAGGGATCAGCCATCACCTCTAGGACCCCATGCTGCCCATGTCCTAAGCAGTGGTCTCAGGACACTTGACAAGAAGCTCAAGCCCCTGGGAGTCAAAGAGAAGCCCTCAGAGGGAAACCTGGGATGTTAAATCTTCACAGTGCGATTCAGTACTTATAATTGAGATAGAATGCCAGACACTGGTGGTGCACACTTGTAATCCTAGCTGCTCAGTAGGCAGAAATCAGGAGGATTGAGGTTCGACGCCAGCCCAGGCGATAGTTCGCAAGACCCTCCCTCAAAAAAATACCCAACTAAAAACAGTGCTGGCAGAATGACTTAAGTGGTAAAGCACCTGCCTAGCAAGTGTGAGGCCCTGAATTCAAACCCCAGTACCATCAAAAAAGAGAGAGAGAAAAAAAAATCCATCACAAAAAAGGGCTGGTGGAGAGGCTCAAGCGGTAAGAGTGTGAGGTCTAGAGTTCAAACCCTGGTGCTGCCAAAAAATAAAAACAACTGAGGTAGAATAGTCTCATATTCATCCTTGTCGAGGGCTCTCAGACTCCTAAGAACACTCAGACACCAGTCCCTCAAAAGAAAGGTCTCCTAAAGAATTCATCTTGTCTGGAATGCTTGCAGGGGGATGTTAGACCCCTGAAGGGAGCTTAAGTCTGGTCTCTAAAAACCCCAATCCAGGAGTAGGGAAACCTAGACCACAGTATTCAAAGCCTTGAGTCTCATTCTCTTGAAGAAAGGCTCAGGCCCTTCTTGGGAGGTGGGGGGGGGGGCCAAGGGCCCATGCCTTAGAATAATATCCTAGAGAAGGAAGTCTCAGGGCACCGACAGAAAACACAGATCCTTGTCACTCAGAAAGGAGATGATTCTCCTGTACCCAAGTAGTCTCTAGTCCCTGAGTACTGGTTGTGGTCCTGGTCCCCAAGAGAGAAAGAATCTTATCTCCCTGAAAGAAGTCTTACACCCCTGGAAGAAAGCCTAGGGAATTCCTCTCTGAAGCATGTGAGTGTGCAAGAAGTCCTTAATTCTACAAGGAATCTCAGGTCCCTCAAGGCAGGTTTAGGACCCGGGAGGTCTCAGGCAGGACCCATTTTCAGGCGCTCCTGTCAACTCTACCCAGGGGAGGGGAGTCCTTCTATACACAGAATGTCAGACTTCAAAGGGTTTAGGTTCCTTGGGGATGCTCAGATCACTTCTCCGAGGTTGTCACCTTATTTGAGTTCCCCGGAAAAGAAATCTCAGACTCTTCTCCCAGAGGAAAATAACACTCTAGTTACTGAACACAGACCTAAATCCCTTGGAGAGACCTGAGACCTCCCTCTCAGGAAGAGTTCCATCCTTCCTGTGAATCCTGGAAAATTCCCATCATTGGTCTTGAGGATGAGAACACGGGGCCTGGAATGACAACTAAAGGACCCAAAAGAGGCCTCAGAGGCCATCTTTAAGCCCCTTACCTTATCTAGGACCTTAAACCCCCCCCCCCCCAGTCCTTTCGTGAAAGGTTAGAGGACTCCTCATGCTTCCACCACCGAAGACTGTCAGGCCCTGTATTTAGGCCGAGGTCCCATGGAGCAATCCCGAACAGCGTTCCTTGGGTTCCTTCTCAGTCTGGAGGTCCCATTTGATATACCTGCCCACCCCTCACCCTCCAGTTCTTACCTGCTCGACGGTGGCAGGGTCCATGGCCTCAATGCGTGCTGCAGCCGCTTCATATTCGTCCTCACTGTTGTAGCCAGCGCCGACCTCCTCACGCTCCGGGCTACCCCCACCAACTGCGCCAACCCCGGGAGCCTGACGCCGCCGCTTGCTGTGCCCAGGTCCTGAGCAGCAGCCGCCCACGCCTACGGCGCCGCCCACGCCCACCACCACTCCCGCCGCGCCCACACCCGCGGCTGTTCCACCGAGCGTGTCACCCGGGCCGCCGCCGGGACCACCAGGGCCCCCGCAAGGAGGTGGAGAGGCTTGTTGTGGACGAGGGCCTGCCACTGCGCCAGGCGGCACGGCTAGTGCCCAACGGTGAAGGGCGCCTGGAGGGCCCGGTAGCGGGCCCTGCGGTGGTGGTGAAGCCCGGGAACGGGCCCCTACGACGCCCGAGTCACGGTCGCGGTCGCCACCACCCACGCCCGTGCCGCCACCGCCCACGCCCACACCCCCGCCGCGCCGCGGCGCTGGGGGCAGCGGCCCGGGCGGCGGCGGCTCGTTGGCGGGGTCGGCGTCGGGAGGCGGCGGCTTCTTTTTGGGGAGAATAGTCATGGCGGCACCGCCAAGTACCCCCCAGCAAACCCGGCGCGGGGCACGCTGGGAGAGAACCCGGATGAGGGGGCTACTGTAGTGCGCGAAGCACGACGGGAACAGCAAGGCCCGGATAAAGAGATCGAGACACCGGTTCGAGAACCGTAGGCGGTATGCAGGTCACGCCCGGAAGAGATCCCGGATGTAAAGTCCAAGATGAAGGCACCGCGATGAGTTCGTTGTACCGCCTCTCCAAGTCCAGCGAGTTTATCGCTACCTCGTTCCGGGCTTCTGCTTCAAAGGAAACAGAACCAAAACAAGCACCTCTTCGCCCCGCCCCCTCACAGGTTCTTGAACTACCGGGTGGGGCCCCCGGTGCTGCGCACGCGCACCAGGGCACAGCCCCGCCTCTTGCTCGGAAGTACGTGGGCAAAATCGCCGCTGCTGCCACAACAATTACAGACACAAACCAATGGAAGAAGCTATGTGGGCCCTTGACGACGCCCACGAACCAATCAGAGAGGAGCGCTTGCCCTCCCGTGCCCTCCGTCTCAAATTTCAAAGTCGGCACCCTGGTTCCCAGCCTTCTTGTCAGTCCCGTTCTGATTTTCGCTTCTTTCCTCGAGATTCAAATTCGCAGGCGTGGGTACTGCGAAAGAACAGCGTAGCCTTCCCCGTGCACCGAAAGACTGCCTCTCCTCCAGGCTTCCAACTTGAACGCAGTTGCCGAGACTGGAAAACATCAACATTCCCAGAGCATACATTTCCCCTATTACGTCAGTTCCTGTTCCACCCATCTGCAAATCCGATGGGGTGGGCACCGCTTCACCCTGGCAACAATCTAAGTCCTACGATGATTGGCCAAGAAATGCCGTCACTTACTTGAGACAGGCCAACCCTGAAACAGACTTGCACTGTGGAGACAGTGGGTGTTTGGGAAACAGAGACACGCCTTCTCTGGCGCCTCCGCCCTCTCGCCCTCGCGTTGACCTCTCCGCCCCTATAGCTAGTGCGCAGGCGCAGCAAGCCTTTTATTTTTATTATTTTTCTAAAACTGAGTTTGCTTACATCGAGACAATGTTTATGAACCTTCTCCGTCACCAGCTGGCGTCTCCGTCACCAGTCAGCATCTCGCAATAGTGTTGGGAAAACCCCTGCTATTGAGCAGTCGGATGGCTACTAAACTAATCCTGGCTCTGCCCTTCCTGTCTAAGTGTGGTTTGTTTTTTTTTTTTTCCTTTTGGCGATACTGGGGTTTCTACACAGGCGTTCTATCTCTTGAGCTATACCCCCAACCCTTTTTGCTTTAGTTCTTTTTGGGATAGAGTCTCAAACACCAGTGATTCTTCTATTTACACTTCCCACATAGCTGGAATGACAAGCACACAACCACGCCCAGCTTTCATAGGTTGAGATTGGGGTCTCGTTAACTTTTGTCAGGGGCTGGCCTCGAACCACCATCCTCCAGATCTCCGCCTCCTGAGTAGCTAGGATTAGAGGTGTGATCCTAGCAAGTCATTTCATACCCACTCCACCCTCCATTTCTACGAATCTATAAAATGACAATAATTCCAATTTGAGGATCAGAGACGAATGTTAGTAAGTGGCCTGTTGCTGTAGCTAGCACATAGTATGTGCTCAATAAACTATTCTGCATGGTGGTGCAATTGGAGGATCCCAGGTTTTGGTAGCAGGAAGACCTCTGTTCCTGGCACAAATGGATCATTATGCTGTATGACCTTGTGCAAATCATTGTGCCTCTTTTGAGATTTCTCATCAAAAGCAAAATATCAAGAATGGGATAATGCCTGCCTACACTGCCTCAGGGAATAGTTACAGAGTTCAGATGAGCTCATGAACTAAGAAAGTGTTGTGAAAGGCAAGGACCATCCCTAGAAGCCAAAAAGACTGTGAAAAGCTTTTCTGAGTGCCACTGACCTCTCTCCAGATGCTCAACCCAAGTGAAAGTCACCCTAGTGGTGGTTTCTGCTCCTGAGACTTAATGGGATGAGGGGACTGGGCCTGCCACGTTCATGACTTTGTGTCAAATGCCTATGCACATTATTACATCGAATCTTTCCATGGCAGTCTCACTCCAGACCCATATATCCCACTCCCTATTGGTTATCTCTCCAGCGAAAACTGAATTTATGATAATATTCATGGCTAACCTTTGTCCAGTACTTAATATGTGCCTGGCACTGCACTAACAGTTTTGATCTTTCTTTTGACAGTGAACAGCACCCCAGGCAGCCATTGCCCAAGCCAGAAGCCTGGGAGTCACCCTTGACTGCTCCATCTCCAATTTTCACATGCCTGTCACTCCCAAATCCTGCCCATTTAGTCTCCCAAATCTCTTGACTCTCCAGTTCTACTGCCATCACTCTGATCCTAGCCACCATCCGCAACCAACTCACAAAAGTCTCCTAACTGCCCCTCTGCTTCATTCAGAACAGTGTCTCTGTAACTCACTCTCCACAGTCAGATTGATCCTCTGAAGCACAAGCCTCATCATGAGTCTCTTGTTTCTAAATTTTCAGAGGTCCCCATTATCCTTAGAAAGAAGTCCCAATCCATTTCCTAGTTTCTAAGGCCTTTTGTGATATGATCTGGCTTTTCTTCTCCCTCTTTCCTCCCCTTCAGCTTCACACTCCCCTTCCCAGCTGAACTGAACTAGTTTCAGTTCCCCAAAGGCCCTGAGCTCACTCCCTAACCTCCAGGTCATTGCACAAGCTGTTCTGTCTACAATGTTTTCAGCCTTCCATCTTTTCCCTGCCTAACTCCATTTCTTTCCTTGCGTGCTGCCATATACATACTTCTAAATGCACTGACCTTAGTTCACACTCTGTTGTAATTGCTTAATTGTCTGCCTTCCATGCTCAATTCTGTATATCAAAGACAATGTCTACTTTGCCTGTCTTTGTACCCTAGGGCTAGCACATCATGAGCAGTTAATAAATATTGGATGAATCAATGAATTATTGTCTCTATCCCACAGATTAGCAACCTGCTGTAAGAGAAGGTAAGTGATTCTCTCACCCAAGGATTGGAACACATCGACCTGATCGGAACAGATCGGTCTGCCTTCTCAGTGTTCTACAGAGCTCAATCACACATTGGCCTAATGGAGCCAGTAGCCCAAAAGAGAAATCGTAGCAGACTTCACAAGGAAGGGGAATAGTCAAATGGAGAGCTGCTTTTATTAGGATTAATTCACAGCTGTTTGGTTTAAGTCACCTCAAACTATGTGCTGCTCTGGATCTCAGCTTCCCCATCTGTGAAAGGACTGAAGCAGAGAATGTCCAAAGGCAATGTCTCAGGGCCCAGTGTCTCACTGGTTATAGGGGTCGACTTTTCAAACCTCCCTTTTTCAGTTCTCCTAGGTTCTCATTGTCCAGAATATATCACCAGCTACCCACCTCCCACATCAGCCCTTCTACTGTTGAAAGGAATTGAGATCAGCCCAACCCAGTCCCCAAACCCACAGAGTCAGGAGGTGCTCAGTCCTCATCTCTTCTCTCAGGTTTTATTGACTGATGGAAACTACATCTTTGTCAGCCACTAGCTCCAGGAGGACAGTGCTAGGGACAGGGAATCTGAGATGGTATCAGGATTTCAGCCTGACAGCAGAGTTCCAAAAGGTGACCCAGGAGTGAGATGCTTATATGGGGTGGAGCTGGGGGAGGTGATCAAGAAGTTCCTCCTATAACTCACAGAATTCAGGAACAGCCCAGATCCCAGGCCTTGACACTTCTGGGCTCCTGCCCAAGAACATGGAATTGGCCCATGATCTCCAAACACAACTCAGCTCTTGCTGGCTGCCAGGCTCTTATCTCAGCCAGTCCAGACTCCAGCCCAACCCAGGAAGAGAAGAGAGAAGGAGGAGTAGTTAGAGGTGGCCCATCTGATCAAGGCAGATGTAAATTTTGCAGCAAACTGGTCAGAGGCTTTGCATATTGTCACAGCAGCAGCTGCTATTGCTAGTTTCCTGGAAGCCCAGCAGAGGACAGGGTGGCAGGAGCCCACTTCCAGCAGCCAGAGAAGGGGGCGGTGGTGTTTGTGCTATCTGTGTGTTGGGAGAGGCAGCCCAACCCTTCAGCTAAGGCCTAGGGGTGGCAGGTCACTGCTGAGGTCACAGCTCATGAAGCCCATGGTTGCATTATAAGCTTCGGAATCTGGGAATTGCTGGGCCTGGTGGAGGGCAAGGATGTCTCCTAGGGGCTAGATCAGTGATGAGGGTTCCCTTCTCTGAACCCCCAAACTTCCACAGCCCAGCCAAAGAGAAGAGGAATCTCAACTCTCCTTGTCAGGTCAGAGCTCCCATGTCAGATGGGGGAGAGGTTTTCCTACCTCCGAGGGCCCGAGGAGAGGTGCATGCAGTAGACCAGCTGGGGGAGAAGAACCAGTCCCACTGTGCTGGGGCAAGGAGGCCAGGGGCCTGTGGAAAAACCAGAGCTTCCGCTCTCACCAAGAAAACTGTCTGGGGTGGGACAATTTCCCATTTCCAGACTCCTTTCCATCAGGTGGGTATTTCCATGAAACTCCATTGCATAGTTCTCTGCAGGGGGCAGAAGGAGTCCCCAGCCCTTCCCCTCTCTGCCTCCTCAAAATATGGCTTTGGAAGGGAGTCTCCAAGAATGAAGAGGACCCTCTGAATGGGCAGGCCCACCCCTCACAGAGAAGAGATCTTAACAGTCTCAGGAAGGAGGCAGGGGGTACCCAGGCTGGAGTTCCTGAGGGTGCTACTAGCCCTGCCACCACCTCCACCACTGCTGCCAGGGGAGGAAAGTTGGCTCTCATCTGGTGTGTTGGCTGGAGGGGTGGGGATACTGATGATGGCGGCCACGAAGTCCCGGCTGTCGCAGTTCAGGTCAAGGCTGTCATGGGGCTTGGCATTGAGGCTTGAGCGGCTGTGGACAGGGGTGGGGAAGATGGAAGGCTCTTCAAAAGTCATCTTGATGCTTGCCACGGCAATCCTGGCATTTATTGAGTGCCTACAGGATCCCCCTGCATCCTTAATTATGATGGGGAGAGTGAGGGCTCTAAAGTCAGCTAGTCCTGGGTTCAAGTCATGGTAACACTTTTATCACGCTAAACCTTTTTTACATTTGTAGCATGGAAGTAACAGTATTTCCTACTTTATGAGGTTATTGTGGAAATCAAATGAGATACTAAATTATACAAAGTGCTCAGAGCAGTGCCTAGAACGTGAGTCGTGCACACACATATACACACACACATATAACTTTATGTGGTGCTGGTGATTAAACCCAGGGTCTTGTGCATCCTAAGCACACACCCTACCACTGAGCTACACCTCAAGTCCACAAAAGTATTACTTCCTGTTGTTACTACTGACGATACCACAATTCCTGCAAGAATCTACACTAGTAGCTGAGTGTGGTGGAGCATGCCTGTAATCCCAGCACTCTCAAGACTGAGGCAGGAGAATTGAGAATTTGAGGCTATTCTGGGCTATAGAGTGAGACTCTCTCAAAAAAGTCTAGACTAGGATCTACAAACCTATGTCCTCATTCCTTTGGACTTGGCTGGCCTATCACTCTGCTCCAGCTCCACCCTCAGTTGCTTCCTCCCTGAGGTAACTCAAGGCACTTGCACAGGCTGTACCCTCTGCCTAGAAAGCTCTTCCTCTAGTTATCTGCATGGCTCACTCCCTTGCCTCCTTCAGGCCTGGGCACAGATGTCATCACAGAAAAGCTTTCCTTGGCCACGTTAATAAAACTGCATTAGGCCGAGATGCGGCTCAAAGGTAGAGCACTTGCCTAGCATGAGTGAGGCCCTGGGCTGCATTTCCAGCACTGCAAAACAAACAAACAAACAAACAAAAAACAAAAAAACAAAAAGCTAATTAAAAAGAAAAGAAAAAACTTCATCACTCTCTGCTCTTCACTCTAGGCACCATCCCAGATTTTTCTTCTTGGCACTTACAAATCTTTGACCCGCTATATAATCTGTGTATTCGTTTGTGTGTTAACTATTTCATCCCACTAGAAAGTTTCGGACTTCTTTTTTTTTTCTTTCTTTTTTTGTTTTTGTTTTTGTTTTGTTTTTGGTGGTACTAGAGTTTTGAACTCAGGACCTCACGCTTGCTAGGCAAGCACTCTACCATTTAAACCACTCTACCAGCCCTTTTTTCTTTCTTCCTTTCTTTCTTTTGTTTTGGAGAGGGGAGGCACGGCTGGGATGGAACTCAAAGCCTTCTGCATGCCAAGCAAGTGTTCTACCACTGAGCTCCTACCACCACCCAAACCAGTGTAGGGATTTCGGTCTGTTCTGTTCACTGCTATACCTCAAGTGCCTAAAAGTGTAGGTGGTATACAGTAGGTAGATGATCAATAAACTTTTTTTTGGTGGAACTGGGGTTTGAGCTCAGGGTTTTGTGCTTGCAAAGCAGGCGCTCTATCATCACTTGAACCGCACCTCCAGTCCATTTTGCTCTGGTCAGTTTTGGAGATGAAATATCAAGAACTATTTGCCTGGGCTAGTCTTGAACCAAGATCCTCTTGATCTCAGCCTCCAGAGCAGCTAGGATTACAGGCATGAGCCACCAGCGGCTGGCTAATAAATTATTTTTTTGAGATAGGATCTTTCTATGTTGCCTAGGCTGGCCTCGAATTCATGGGCTCACGTGATCCTTCTGCCTCGGCCTCCTGAGTAACTGGAACTATAGGCATGTACCACCACCAATGCTCAAAAAATATTTGAACGAATGAATGAGAATGAGGTGTTCCAGATAAGCTCAAGGTACCCGCCTGAAGGAGGTTTGGGTTTGAACTTGACTTGCTGGGCCTGGAGTGATCTTGATACTTGCCACAGCAATCCTGGCATTTGTAGAGTACCTATGGGTCCCTGGCATTGCACCAAGTGTTCACCCTGCTCAGACGCACTGGTCCAAGTGTTGTGCTCCTGACCAGCAGGTGGCTCAGGTGCTTACCTCTGAGGGGCAGGACTCCTCCGAAGCCCTGCCAGTGTGTCCAGCTCCTGCATGCTTCCGCGGCTGACTGAAGCAGTGGAGTTGGCAAGGCGGATGGCACGGCGCTTGGCCCTCCGGGGGCAGCAAGATGATAGCAGGCTGCCAGGCCCCACTGGCTGGGAGGACACAGAGGTGCTGCGGCTGGTGCGGCCACCCAGCGAGACAGCTCCCAGGGCCTCACTGAAGGTTAGCTCATCTGTGAACTCATGGCACTGTGGGCAGAAGGAGAGCAGGGTCACAGGGAACCCCATAGGAGCGGGTTTCACCGTTAGGCTTTTGCTCAGCCTGTTCCCTCCTTTCTGGAAGTCACTCTCTCTTCCCTTTCCTTGCCCATCGTTCAAGGCTCAGCATCTTCCAGGAAGCCCTGTGTGATTTCTACAACTAGTGGCAAGCCTTCCATCCCAGTGAGGGGGTTGGCGTGGTGGCAGAGGGACCCCCTCCCTCGTGCCAGGGTAACTCTCGTTAGGCCTCACCGTCGTCTTCTCTAGACAGTGCAGCAAATGGTGATGTTGTTGCTCAAAAGCAGAACGGTTCCTGACACACAATGCCTGTCCCTCCCCACTGCCACTGTCCTGGAATGCACAGAGCAGAAAGAGGTCAGCACGTTCCTCCTGCCATCCCTCCTCGCCCCCAACCCCAGCCTGGCCCCCTCCCTACCTCAAGGCCCCCGTTTTGCTTATACTGCAGGAAGGCGTTGGTGGTTCCACTTTTTGCCAATCGGATCCTTGCCAGGCGCACCTTCTACAGAGAGAGGAGGAGACAGAGGGTCCGGTGGGTGAGCCCCAGTGGACCGGCTCAGGGTGTAGGTAATGACAGGAATTCAACAGGAAGATAAGGTTACCTGCTGCGCCCGGCGCTTGTCAGCACGCTGGTTCTGGTGGTAGATACGGCTAAAGTTGGATACAATGACTGGCACAGGCAGAGCAATGACCAAGACACCACTAAGTGAGCAGATGGATCCAAAAATCTTGCCAGCAATGGTGCTGGGCACCATGTCTCCATAGCTGGGGAAGGGGGGAGGTAGGCCAAGGTCAGGAAAAGTGCCTACCAACCTCTCAGTCCCCCATTCCATTCCATCCAGCCCTCACTTGCTCTGCAACCTGGACCAGGCCCTTAGAGTCTCTGAGCCTTAGTTTCTTGCTCTGCAAAATGTGGAGAATGACCTCCCTGGCCAGCAGTGGGAGTCAAATGAGAAATGGGGCTGTCACTAAGTCTCTACCAGCTGCTACTCCCATCTGAGCTATGCCCTGGGAGTTGGAGTCAGTTGGAAATCTATTGAGACCAAGCAGAAGGGAAAATGAGGAAGTCACAGGCAAGTAAACACAGCTCCTGGGGAGAGAGTCCCACTACAGGGCAGCTGAGGGGTTCTGTATCCTAGGAAGAGTATTCCATGAATTTTGGCTACCACTCTACTTTGTCTAGGTAGGACCCCCTTCTAATTCCACCCTCCCCAGGCGAAGCCTTAAAACTATCCGCATACAGTGGGCACTGGTAGGCACTGCTGGCTCATGCCTATAATCCTAGCTGCTCAGGAGGCAGAGATCAGGAGGATCAAGGTTCAAGGTCAGCTAGGGCAAATAGTTCACGAGACCCTATGTCAAAATAACCTATCACAAAAAAAGGGTCTGATGGAGTGGCTCAAGCGGTAGAGCACCTGCCTAGCAAGGGTAAGGCCCTGAGTTCAAACCCCAGTATCGTCAAAAAAAAAAAAAAAACAACCAAAAACAAAACTACAAACCTGTCCTTATACAATAAAATAGGGAGCCTTGAGGCTCTGCCTGCCCTCCTCCATGCTGCCCCCTCCCAAGGAGATGGAACAGAACCAAGTTTACTGACTTTTTTTTCTCAGAAGAAGAAGATGCAGCTCAGGGAGGTTCCACAGTTGGCTCAGGAGGAGCACATGTGCTATCCACAGGACCAATCAGAACTCTTACAAGTCTCCAGCTTCTACGCCTCTGCTCAGGCTGTGCCCTAGGATGGCTCTTTCTTATTTCTGTGTTTTCAGTCATTTTAAACATTCAGGACTCTGCTCCAAAGTTTCTCCAACTTGGCCATTTCTGGCTCTGGGATGTGTCGCCTCAGACTGTCTCAATTATGAGACATGGAAAGCCACCTGCCCTCACAGGATTGTTGTAAGGACTGACTAGGACAAAGGACACCAAAATATCCAGTGCCAATTCAAGGTCAGGGCTCAATATTGGTTTGTTGATCCAATCCTGAACCTCCAACCAGAATTTATTTCTGGTTTCTAATCCCCCCAAAAAATGAAAGAAAAAAGAAACCCCAAATCACTTTTTCTGTACCTCTAATAAGGCACTAAGCCAGGCCAATTCAGCCATTCATTCTACAGACACTGAGCACCAACAGTATCCTTAAATCCAGTGATGGAAATTTAGAGAAGGGTCACAGCATCTTCCCTACGCAATGTGTTTAAGCACACAAAGAGGAAGCCAGGTCTGGTGGTACAGGCCTGTAATCCCAGCACTTGGAAAGCAAAGGCAGGAGGATTATGAGTTCCAGGCCAGCCTGGTCTATACAGTGAGATCCTAAGTGAACAAATAAACAAAAAGAACATCATGGGGCTGGGGTCGTGGCTCAAGTGGTAGAGTGCAAACTTGAGGACCTGGGTTTAAACCCCACTACCACAATAAAAAAAAAAAATCATGAGGGCTGGAGATGTAGTTCAGTGAGAGCCTGCGGCTAGCATGTGTAAGGCCTTGGGTTCAATTCCCCGCACCTCCCTCCAATCCCAAAAAAAAAAAAACTTCATAAGTTTGGTGATTCCATTTGATAGTTTTATCCCAACTCTGATTCCTCTCAGGGACTGGGAGTAAAAAATAATGCTGAAAATATCTTCTGGGAAACATCAAGGAATCACAAAACCCCAGAGGACGTGCCCCACACAGCAGACAACTGTAGAATGTTGGGAGACATGGTTCCTCAAAATGGAAAAAAAGGATGAGAGGAAGCCAATACCTACGTAACCTGGACCAGAAACATGCAGAGAACTCACAACCCTGATGTCACTGAATCCTCTCTAGATGATGAAAGGATCATTTCTCACTTTACAGTGGGGGAAACTGAGACCCTGAGAAAATATCAACAGAAAGAAAGCAGCTAAAACAATCCTTGAACCCAAGTCTGCTGGCCTAGAAAAATTAAGATATGGTCAGGGCTGGGAGTGACTAGAAGATTAAGAACAAATCCCTAAATTTTTACAGATGAGCAAACTGAAGCTAAAAAAGAGAAAAAAGTTGGGCATGATGGTGCCCACTGTAATCCCAGCACTTGGGAGACTGAGGCAGGAGAGTTGAGAATTTGAGACCAGCCTGGAGTATATAGCAAGATCTTGGTGGCAGGGAAAGAGAGAGAGAGAGAGAGAGAGAGAAAGGAAGAAAGGGAGAGTGGAGAGATGTGCTGAGCACATGCTTAGCATGTGTAAGGTGGCCCTGGGTTTGATCTCCAGTACCACAGAGAGAGACAGAGATCATTCATCTAAACTTCCTAATTTTACACAAAGGGTGAATGTAACTGTGAGTGTAACTGACTGATCGTACAGCTCCCAACAAGGGTCTGCACTCACCCAAGTGTGGTCATGGTGACAATCGTATACCAGAAGGCTGCAGGGATGCTGGTAAAGTTGGTCTTGCTGGTGCCCTTCTCAGCATAGAACATGACAGTGGCGAAGATGATGATGGCCATGGTGAGGGAAAAGAGGAGAAAGCCCAGCTCAGAGGCACAGCTCTTGAGTGTGTAGCCCAGAATCCGCAAGCCCTGTGAGTGCCTAGAAAACTTGAAGATGCGAAAGACGCGGAACACGCGCAGAGTGACAAAGGCACCCGAGACATCATCATTCTTGGGCACAAAAAGCCCAATGTAGTAGGGCAGGATGGCTACCACATCAATGAGGCTCATGACACTCCGCAGAAAACGGCAACGGCTGGGGGCCGCGAAGAGCCGAAGGAGATATTCCCCGGTGAATATGAGCACACAAGCTGTGTCCATGCAGAAAAAGGCCATCGGGAAGCGGTCACCACAGGGTTGCTCCCTCGGTGGCCGCAGCGCGGGGCCGCGGCACGGGATGGTCTCCACTACGTTGGCGATGACAGACACGGCAATGAAAAAACCAGTCACATAGTAGAAAACGAGCGCCGCGGTGCTTGTGTGTGGGTTCTCAAAGGCCCGCCAGAGTCGCTGTCGCAAGGAGCTGCCCGCTGGCAGGGCAGGACCATCCCCAGCTTGCTCGGCCTCCTCGTCCTCTGCCAGACGCTCGGCGTTCTCCTTCTTTTTGTCCCGGTACTCTTCAAGGCAGCAGTCGCCCACAAGCTCGGGGACCAGGCCATAGAAGGCCAGCTCTTCGTCGAAGGCCTGGATGCACTCCTGCCGCGGACAGTGCAGCCGGCCTGTGCGGTAGAAGTTCAGCACGTGCCGGAACATGTCCGGGTCGCGATCGAAGAAGTACTCGCCTGAGTCTGCATCATAGAAGAACTCCTTCTCCGAGCTGCCCAGCAGAGTGTCTGGGTAGCGATCCAGCGTGTTTTTCCAGGTCTCAAAGCGCCGGCCGCTCACGTTCACCACCAGAACCTCATCCCCTCGAGACGTCTTCACCCCCGGCGCGGGGGGCAGGGGCTGCTGGGCCAGGGGCAGCCAGCCCACCGCGGCAGCCCGAGCAAAGGGCAGCCACGTGGCCACTCCTGCCGCCATCCTGGGGCTCCCCAAGCCCCCTGAGACTCGGGGGGTGTGGCGTTTAGGAGAATGTGGCTGTCTCCAGGATGATGGGGGCTTGGAGAGGCCCTGGGCTACCAGGCAAGGAAACTGGGGGTTTCTAGAGAGGCCAAGAGGAACCAGCAGGAGGAACTAGAGAGACGGGCAGGAGCTTGGGGGGCATTTAGAGGGTCTTAGGAGGGACCTGGGCAACATCCTGAGGGACTGAGACAGGGCTGAGGTGGCCAGAGGAGCCCAAGAAGGATCCCTCAGGTTCAGAGAGACTGAGATGATTCTAGAGGGGTCAGCATGTTCCTGAGAAACGTCTGCAGGTATCTAGAGGGACCAAGAAGCAGGTGGGGAGTTGTCCACACTCTCAAGAGTTCTCAGAGAGGGAAGAAGGGCTTGGAACCCCTTAGCCCTGTTGGAGAAGAGACAGGGACATCCAGAGAGGTAGAGATAGGACCAGAGATGCTTGAAGGAGGCTGAGAGTATCTGAAGGGGGGGAGGTTTCTAGAGGGTCTGAGAAAGGGGAGGAGGGTTGTCCACACCCTCAAGACTTCTGGGGAAAAGATAAGGGGACTGGAGCCTTCTGGTGGATCTGAAAAGGGGGCTGGAGCATCTTAAGGGTGGCTATAGAGCCAGGAGGTTGTAAAGAGGCTAAAAAGTGTCTTGGGAGTGCCTAGAGCTGCCAAGAATAGCCTGGGGGGGCCGTTTGTCTACACTCTGCAGGAGTTCTGGGGAAGGCAGGAGAGGCAAGGGACCCCTAGTGGGGCTGGAGAGAAGAGTGGGATAGCTGAAGGGGTAGACTCCGGACTTGGTTACTTTTTAAGAGACTAGGAATTATCTGGGCAAGGGGGAATCTGCAGGGGCTCAGGAAACCCCGATTCACGCTCTGAAGAGTTCTGAGAGGGAGGGAAAAGGGGCATCGGGGAATCCCAAGGGGCTGGAACTAAACTGCACCAAAGTTGGGCAGAGCCTCTGAGCATCCAGGAGATCCCAAAAGAATAAGAGGAAGGCAGTTACCCCCAAAATGGGCTGGAGAGGGGGTGGGGTGTTGAAAAGCAGTTGGGCGTGTCTCCAGGGAGGGGGCTGGCTGCTGGACCCTGCAGAAGGCTGGCTGGAGAGGCCGGGAGAAGGCTGGGTCCCACCGTTGGGGGCAGGTCTGGGGAAACCACACCCCGAAGGGCTGGCGGTGTGCTGGGCAGCAGCAGTAGCAGCAGCGGCAGCAGCAGCAGGAGGAGGTGAAGAGAGCAGCCACCGCCAGGCCTAGGAGGGAAGGTGGCACAGACAGGGGAAAGGGGCTGGGTCCCTAGAAGGTGGCTCTGGAAGGGCAAGGTTCAGTGGGGCCCCTAGGGACTGTCCCAGGATGGGCTAGGGCATGGGAGATGGACCAGGAAAGGACAAGGGACAGCGCTAGTGGTGACCCCCTCCCCCTCCCTATAGGGCCGTCCTCACCTGTGTCCCTGCTGCAGCAGCAGCAACAGCGGTGGGGCTGGGGGGGACCAAAGACCGGAGCTCCTGGCCCCTCTGCAGAGCTGCCTGAGTTCTCCTCCTCCAGCTCTCTCTCCCCGCCCCTCTGAGCTTGCTGGGAGATGGAGCGAGAGGCAGGGAGGGGCCTCGTGGCTCCCAGAGCCCCCTCCCCTAGGACAGCTGAGAGAGACCCTGGGGAGACTCCGCCTCCTACAAAGCTGGTTGGGCCTCAGTCGCGTCATCTGGAAAATGGGGGTGGCAGGGAGTTTTGCCAGTTCTCCCCACCTCCTTCCTGGACTCCCCCCCTTTTCCTGCCCAGCTCCTACCCTCTCTGCCCCAGGGGCCCCAACCCCCCACCCGCCTGAATCAGCAGCACTTAGCGGCTCCGATCGATGGGGAGGCGTCTGTTAATGGCCCCAGAGCGGAGTACGGAGTGCCACGGAGAATGATGCAGCGCTGTGTCCCCTCCCTGCCCCCCCCCCCCGCTGTGGAAGGGCAGAAGCAGGAGGGGATTATTGAAGGGGGAGTTTCTCTAGATGGCTAGGCTTCCAAAGCCACCCCCGGGGGTCTTGGTCAGAACTCCAGCTCTAAACAAGACTTCCAGTATGAGACTGGAGTACACAAATCCCACTCGGCTTTTGGATGTGAAATAAGGAGGAAGGTGAGTGCTAATGGAGACAATCCAGGCCTCTCCTGCCCTGGCCCGCTCCTTGCCAAGGGGGCAGGCTTCCTTATGTCCATATCCAGTGGCCTCAAATCACACCTTCTCCCCTAGAGGGCTCTTCTCCTGGGTGCCAGGAGCAGGAGTATGGAATGCCTCTGGCAGGCATGGGTGGGTTCAAACCCCAGCTTTGCTACTGACTTGCCTTGTCCTTGAGCAAGTGACTTGCATTGTTTCCTCAGTTGTCAGATGGAGTTATCCCAACTTGACAGTGGTATTTGGAGCATTCACGGAAGCAGTGTGAAAGGGGATGGCACAGGGCCTGGCAGGAAGCTTTTTATTTATTTATTTGTTTTGACACAGGGTCTCACTATGCAGCCCAGGCTGGCAAACTTTCAAGTGCTGGGATCATGGGTGGGTATGAAATGCCCTACCAGGGCAGGACACCTAATTTTAACTAAAGGTGTGTGGTGAGGAGGACGCAGTAAGGCAGGGCCAAGTCTGGCCTTTCAATTCATATATCTACCTATAAATCCTCTTATCACACCCTAATTTGACTATTCTTCTATCCCTCCACTCCCCATCCCCACGTATCCAATCATTCTACCCATCCCTCTGCCCCAATTTTTTTTTTTTTTTTGGCAGCACTGGGGTCTGAACTCAGGGCCTCACTCTTGCTAAGCAGGTGCTCTTACTATTTGAACCACTCTACCACCAACAAAAATTTTTTTGGTAGGACTGGGGTTTGAACTCAGGCTTCCTGCTTGCAAAACAGTCATCTATCCATTTAGTCATTAATTCACCCACCAACTCACTCCTCCATTTGTATGTCCACTACAGCCTAACCATTTACCAATCCTCCACCCATTTATCTGTTCATCCCTCCACTCATCATTTATGAACCTATTTACTCTTCCCATTCATTAGCTCATCCCCTTACACATCTGTCAATTTACTCTCAACCTGTCCACAAACCCATCCATCCACCTAACTCATCCACCTGTACATTTGTCCATGCATCTATACACTCATCTGTTCATTTACATTTCCACTTATTCATCTTCTACCTATCCACTTACTGATCCATCTACCCATTTATTCATTCAACCACCATCTATCCATTTATTTCCCAACTATGCATCATCTTGCTGAGCATGCTCCCACTCATTTATCCAGTCCATCCAAGCACTTATCTATCCCCTCATATGCCCACTCACCTATACCCACAATTCCATAGCCATCTACCCACATACATATCTATATGTATTTTTGCTCCACTCAGTTTGAGAGGGTGGTCAGGAGGCAAGTGAGGTGAGGGTGGAAGAAGTTGTAGACAGAGACCCCCCTCCCCATTCCAATGGAATGACCTCCCCATCCCCAGCGCATCCCTCTTGATTGAAAAGAATGAGACCAGACAGTCAGTGGGTGGGCCCGTCTGGCCAGATGGTATTTTGGCTGCACAGCCTTTACACACACACACACACACACACACACACACACACACACACACACACGCACACACACATACACACATACTCGCGTTGCTAGAACGCTGAACATGAACTGCACCCCCACCCAATATCCCCAGTTCCAAATGCAGAGTAGCCAAGCTTCCAGACATAAATTAAAAAATAAAATAAAATAAAAAAAGAGTTGGTCACTGGAAAGGAGAATTCATGCAGAGATGAAGGCAGAAGCCCCTGGGAGCCAGGGCCAAGAAGAAATACCTGCCCTTCCCTTGGGACCCCTCCTCACGGGCCTCCGCCCTAAGACAGGTCATTAACACCAGTAACAGGCCTCTAGCCCCTTTAATGTCCATGCCCTCAAACTATTAGATTTTGGTATGGGCCCCCATTTTCCCACCACAGCCCAAGGGAAAGGCATCCTGGGGAGTGGGAAGGAGAGGGAGTGGGTGCAGTTTGCAGGTCTTTAGCTGGTTTCTCCAGGTTCTAGGTCTGGGTCAGGAGACCCCACGCACTCCTTGCTGAGCCGCACAATTTCCTGGGACAGAACTTCCATGTCCTAAGAAACAAATGAACCATCAGGGGCCAGAGAAGGGGGCAAGGGCAGCTCTTATCACCAAACCTAGGGTGTCATTTGTGATTTCCTTCTCACCCCAGTAATCAATGCCCAGTGGTTTCTGGCCTGGGATGGGAAGATACCTGGAGAAGTTCACAGAGCCCCTAGCAAAGGCCTGGGCACAGAGAAGTTGTAAGGATTAGTGAGGAGTCTCTGGAGTTAAGGAGATGCTATGGCCTGGTGCTGCTGGAGGATATACCTGCCACGCTCACCATCTTCTTCTCTCTCTCTCTCCCTCCCTCCCTCCCTCCCTCCCTCCCTCTCTATCCCTCCCTCCCTCTCTCTCTCTTTTTGGGGACTAGGGTTTGAACTGAGGGCTTCCACCACCTTCTCTTCTAATAAATATGAGCTTGCTTCTGCAAGGCAGGAGCTGGATCTGACTTCCCCATAGATGGGGGTAATATTTGGTGGGGACAGACATATGGGTGAACACATGAGGGATCTATGGCAAGCAAACATATACACAAATGAATTGTACAAAGGACAATAGGTAGGTAGGAAGGCCACTGGGTAAACAGATGAAAGGTAAGACAAAGGATGATTCATGAGTAGATAAGGGAGAGTGGTATGTCAGGAAACAGGTGGAAATAGAGTAAGTAGATGGACACATGGGTAATGGGTTGGATGAATGCGTGTATGAATGGATGAGTGGGTGGAAAGACAGAGGGAAGCGTGAAAGCCTAAACTGACAAGGTGATTGGAGAATGGAAGGTGAGATTATGAAAAGGTGGTGGATGAATCCATACGGCGATGGCTGGGAGGACAAGGAGGACTGGCAGATGACCCAGGGACCATGTGGCTGGGGAGGTAGGTGGCTGGATGGATGGATGTGTAGGCCGGTAGGCCACACTCGCCTTGTGCAAGTGCATATTCTTGGTGAGCTGCTCCTCCAGCATGTTCTGCAGCTTCTTGTTCATCTCTCGAAGGTTCTCGTCTCCTGGCTTCACTAGGTCTCTCAGGACGCTGCCAAGCCCACTTCGGTCTGTGTGGCCCGCTGCCACAGACACATCTGCAAGGGCCCAGGCTGAGCACCACCCCCTCGGCAGAGCCAGAGGAGAGGTGAGAGAGTGGGCAGAGCCAGAGGAGAAAAGAAGGAAACAAAGAGGAGAGCGGGTTGGGGGAGGGGAAGAAGCCATGTTATGCAGGGGGCAGCAGATTTGACATATAAAACCCAGCTCAGTCACTTGATAGCCATGTGACCCTGAAAATGGAGATATGTAACTGGTGGAGTTGGAAAAATGCATATGATTGCATGTGAAGCACAGAGCATACAGTAAACCCTCAGCACAAGTCACTGGGTATTGTTCTGGTTAATAATTAGGAAAAATCAGGGAGAGGAGAAGATCAGAAAGAAGACAGGGGAGAGGAGAGGAGAGGAGGAAGAGAGGTGGCAGATGGGTGGGAGGGAGGAAAGGACCTAAGAGGATGGCAAAAAAGAGTTAAGGGCCTCAAAAGGGGTAAGACACAGAAAATGAAAACTTATGGGGAAAGAACAACAGAGCCAGTGAGAGAAGGTGAAGGATGGGAACAGAAAAGAGACCACAAAGACAGAAGAAAGGAGAGTGAGGGAGAGGGGAATGAAGGGAGAGGGAAAGAGGAGAGAGGATAGAGGAGAGAGGAAAGAGAGAGAGAGATAGAGAGAGAGAGAGAGAGAGAGAGAAAGAAGACACAGGGAGGAGAAAGGAGACAGAGAAGGCCAGAGAAACCCACTAGAGAATGGACCGTGGAGAGATGACAGGGACATGGAGAGGAGGGAGGGTGCAAGATATAGACACAAAGCTTCCCTGCTCTCCCCTCCATGGGTCCTGGTCTTGTCAGTATCTTTGCTAAGTTCCCAGAAGAGAGAAGCCACAGCATAGAACAATGGAGAAGGAGGGGTAGGCGAAGCCTGGACTGGGAGTGAGGGCTAGAGCGGGGGCACTGACCTATCCGGCTGTCCATGACGTAGGTCTCAATGATGGCACTCTTCCGGCAGAGGTCTTCTGCCATGGAGGCACTGCTGACCTCCAGGTGTTTCACCTGCAAGATGACCCAGCCCACCTCAGGCCTGTCAACTGAACATGTTCACCCATGATGAAGGGCCAGGCCAGACCCCCTCCTCACTGCCCCACCCCAGGGCACTTCAAGTGGGGACAAGCAGGCAGACAGCCAGCACCTTCTCCTCCAGCATCCACTTCTCCTGCTGTGTCTCAGCCAGCCGCTGAAAGAGCTCAGCTACTTCCTCATCTGACAGCTCTGCTGACCGAGGGGGCTGAGCCTGAGGGCTACTGGATAAGGACTGCAGGAAAGAGAGAGAGGCCAACCCAGGCTTAGCATCACCCACCCCAGACATGAGTCAGGAGGTGGAGGTGCTAGGAGAGCATGGGCACTGAAGCTAGGGCTGAAGGCCAGTTTTGGCCCCCTCAGAGACTCTGCATTTCCCTTGGCCTAATGGGGGGTATACAGTGTAATCACCACACAGCTTGATTGAGAGGATCAGGGAGTTATAGTAGCAAATGAGATCTAATTCACAGCTGACAGGAAATGGAGTCCAGGAAGCCAGTAGAAAAATCTAAAAGGTGGGAAATTTCCTGCAGGTCACCTGGGCTCGTCTTGTCTACAAGTTTAGTGTCAGGGAAAAAAAAAAAGGGATCACACTAAAGGGATTTAAGGGACAGAGATCACCAGATGCGACATGTGCTCTGAACATGAATGCTGGTTTTCACAATAAAGGGCATTTTGGGGCCAACTAGAGAATTCTGATTGAGGTGACAGTATTAAATAAGACTAATATTTACTAAATTGGAAAGGAAGAGATAATGTAATAACACTCAAATCTCATTTTTGTTTGTTTTTGTGTTCAGTACTGGGGATTGAACCCAGGGCTTGTACATGTGAAGCAAGAGCTCTGCCACTAAGCTACATCATCACTGTCATTTTGTGTGTTTTAAAACAGAGATCTGGAAGGATATGAATTAAGAATTTTTTTGAGATGAGGTTTAACTATGTTGTCCAAGCTGATCCCAAACTCCTGAGCTCAATTTTTCTGAAAAGAACTTTGCTCATTTGTGCTTTTTTTTTTGGTGGTACTGGGGTTTGAACTCAGGGCCTTACACTTGCTAGGCAGGTGCTCTACCACTTCAACCATTCCGCCAGCCCTCATTTGTGTTTTTTATTATTTTTTCTTCTGGCGGCACTGTGTGCTTTTTGTAATTCCTACAATATACACATTTTATGGAATAATATAAAAGCATTATTTCACAATAAAAGTGGCTGACAGGGAAGATGATGTGGCAGATGGCAATAATATGAGTGAGGAGTTGGAAGAAGGAAACTTCTATGTGGATGGTGTACTTATTACAAGCCATGTACTTCACAACACCAGGAAAAGTGGAATTAGCCCACAGAGGGAGAAACAGAGGATCAGAGAGAATGAATGGCCTGTCCTCCATGTAGCAATCTGAATCCAAGTTGATGAGCTTGGGGAGAAGTTGACAAAAAATGCTGGTGCCAGGGACTGGAGGTGTAGCTCAATGGTAGAGTATATATGTGAGCCCTGGGTTTGACTCCAGCACCAAAAAGAAAAAGTAAAATGCTTCTGCTGGGCTTTACGTAAGGGAAAAGTGGGGGTGCCCCAGATCTTGGGTGGGAGAAGCTGAGGCTACAGGCTCTTGCCCCTCACCCTGGCTGGAACAGCTGAGCTCTCCTTCTCCCGCAAGATCTCCCGGTAGCTGAAGGAGGAGATGCTACTGCTGTCTCCTGTCTGGGTCCGGCTTGGTGAGTTCATCTCAGAGAGAACCAGCTCCTCGAGGCCTAGGCAGTGGAGGGAAGAGAAACCTGAGGCCAAACCCCCCTCACCCTTGGTGCCAGGTAGTGACTGGCAGGAAGAGACAGAAATAGATTTGACAGAGATGGAAAGAGGCAAAGAGACACACCTGGGCATGGGGAAAGGCAGAAGCATGCAGGAAAAATAGCTGCCTGTGTTGGCAAACACAAGAAGAGAGGCAAGTGGGAGAGGCTGGAAGAAAGAGGACAATGAGGGGACACACAGCCCTCAAGTAGCATAAGCACTCAAACTTAGGTATGGAGAAAGGAAAACAGGTATCTGGAGAGAGTATGGTAGCATACCCAAAGCAGATTATGGAGATGGAGAGAAACCCCGGAGAAGAACACAGAGCAGAAACAAAGAAAAGATAAAGACATGGACTGGAGGTGTGGCTCAAGCAGTAGAGTGTCTGCTTTACAAGCACGTAGCCCTGAGTTCAAACCCCAGTCCCACCAATTACAACAACAACAACAAACAACAAAAAAAAAAAACAGAAGATGAAGACAAACTCTAAGCCATGCACCTAGATCTCAGTTCCATCTAATGCACAAGGAGAATGTGATAGATTATCAGTTCTAATCTATCCCATACTTCTTACATCAATCTGTAACAAAACAGAAACAAAACTCCTCCATCATAAAGAGAGGTTATTTCAGGAGATTGAGTGCCTCAGCCAGAAATTGCTTTGGTAAGAGAGACATCTGTTTTGCCACATCACAGGCACTGACTGGGTGTGGTGGCATATCCTTACAGAAGAATCATTTGAGTCCAGGAATTCAGGGCCAGCCTGGGCAATGTATTAAGACCCCACGTCAACAAAACAAAACCAAAACTAAAAATACTGGCACTGAGCATGTGCCACTGCCCTTATGTCTGCTTCTGGTGTCAGAGAGGGGGTTGACACCACAAGAGATCTCCAGCAAGGGTGTGGTGGCTGTTGAGGTTCCATAGAACTATGAGTGGGAGCAAAGTTTTCTCTTTTTTTCTTTTTTGGTGGTAGTGGGGTTTGAACTCAAAGCCTCACACTTGCTAGGCAGATGCTGTACCACTTGAACCACTCCCACCAGCCCTTTACTGTTGGGTATTTTTCTAGACAGGGTCTCACAAACTATGTCTTGATCCTCCTGATCTCTGTCTCCTGAGTAGCTAGGATTATAGGCGTGAGGCACTGGTGACTGGCAATAAGTTTTCTCTGAGTTTGTGATCTGAGAGATGCACCAGAACCATCACTGCATCTTATTTATTTCATTGTATTTACAGACCGCCACCCCCTACTAAAAGGAGGAAGCAACTTCAGTTTTGTGTGTGTGTGTATGTGTGTGTTTTGTCCTCAACGGGCAGAAAGTAGTATGGATTGGGTTAGCGACATAATGAAAACAGCTGCTGTCTCCCTTGCTCCACTGGGAGGTCCTGGAGGGCAGTGACTCAGGGGGTTTGTATCAGGAAACCTAGGCTTCAGTGTGAGGATTTATAGAATGAGTGATCAGATACAATAGATGTAGAAACACCAAGTGAGGTGTGGGAGTGTGTATGTGAGGAGACAGGGAGAAGACAGAGAAAGCAAGAGACAGGATAGAGATGGTGAGAGAGTAAGAAATAAAGGAAAAGAGAAGAAAAGATGTGGAGGAGAAAAAGAGATCTAGAGAAGGAAAGCAGAGATCTTTCATCTTCCCCGGCCACCAGCTGCTACCATGAAGGTTGAGCTGGGCAGTTTTAGTGGATACAAGATCTACCCTAGGCACGGGAGGCGCTACACCAGTACTGATGGGAAGATTTCCCAATTTCTCAATGCAAAATGCAAATCAGCATTCCTTTCCAAGAGGAATCCTCGACATATAAACTGGGCTGTCCTCTACAAAAGAAAGCACAAAAAGGGACAGTCGGAAGAAATTCAAAAGAAAAGAACCTGGCGTGTAGTCAAATTCCAGAGGGCCATCACTGGTGCCTCTCTTGCTGAAATCATGGCTAAGAGAAATCAGAACCTAGAAGTTAGAAAAGCTCAGTGAGAGCAAGCTATCAGGGCTGCCAAAGAAGCAAAAAAATTGCAAAGCCCTTGAAGGTTTCTGCTCCTCAAGTTGGTGGAAAATACTATTTTGGAAGATCAAATTTTTTTTTCTGTGATACTGGGGCTTGAACTCAAGGCCTTAACCTTGAGCCACTCCACCAGCCCTGTTTTTGTGATGTTTTTTTTTCGACATAGCATCTCTTGAACTATTTGCCCTGGCTGGCTTTGAACAGTGTTCCTCCTGATCTCTGCCTCCTGAGTAGCTAGGATTACAAGCATGAGCCAAAAGCACCGAGCTGATCAAGTATTTAAAAAAAAATCCATCTACAACTCTAAAAAAAGTTTTCTAAAAAAGTAAGAAACAGAGAGAGAAAGGTCAATATAGAGGAAACAAAGAAAGAACAAAATGAGACAGAGACACAGAAAGACAGGAACAGAGAAGAGACAGTGAAAAGGAGACAGACATAGAAAGAAACAGTGCTGAAAAAGAAAGAGGAGAGACAGAGATGGGGACAGGTAAGAGGCAGAGTTCAAGACAGATAGTAAAGGCCAGAGAGCAGGACTGAGAGCGCTGTAGCCCACAGGCCCAGGCCCTGGCAAACCCTGAGCCACAGGCTGGCCTGCCTGTCCTGGTGTCTCACCTGAGCGGCTCTTGCTGTTGGTGAGGATGTCCTGCAGTCGCTCCTGCAGCTTGTCAGCCCGTTTCCGCTCCAGGTGTAGCTGCCGCTTAAGGTCCTTGAGCTGCATGGAGAAAGGGGAAAGATGAGGGCTGAGGCCCAGGGGGCCCATGAGAGGGGAGGGGGCACAGGCCAGTAGTGGGCTGTGCTTCAGCTCCTCCCCACCTTACCGCAGCACAGCCCTTCTTCTCCAGAATCCTCTGTCCATCCACTGTGTCCTTCACCTCCTGTGGTTAGAGAAGGCATGACTGGCAGGTGACTGCACAGCTGCCTGCAGTGGGCCCCCTCCCTGCCCTGTGCTGTACTGTGAGGCTCAGGGCTGTGTTGGGGCCATGGAGAGACCACAGACCTGCTTCAGGTTGCTGATGGTCTTTAGGTGGCCATCTCTCTCCTCCTGGGCTTGCTGGAGCTGATCCCGTACACTCTGCAGCTCCTCATCCTTGCCCTGCAAAGCAGACAGCAGCTCAGGTCACAGCTTGAGAAACCTCTGTCCTCACTCAAGGGCCTGCCAGCACCCAGAGACGAACATCATCATGCTAGGGGCACCTTTAGCTCAGCAGCATGCTGCTCCCGGCACTGCTTGAGGGCTTCCTCTTGTTCCTGCTGCTGCTGTTGCAAGGATTCCTGTAAGATAAGTCTCAGGTCTGGCCATAGCCCACCACAAGATGTTATGCCCAGTTAAGGGCATGTAGATTTCAGCAGGACTCTTGGGATCAACAGAACAGATGCTCTTTTTATTTATTTTTGGTGGTGTTGGGGGTTGAACTCAGGGCCTTGCACTTGCTAGGCAAGCACTCTACCACTTGAGCCATGCCTCCAGCCCTATTGATTTTTTTTGAAACAGGGTCTCACAATGTAATCCAGGCTGGCATCAATCTCTCAATCCTCCTACCTCAGCCTCAAGAATGCTGAAATTACAGGAGTGCACCACCATGCCTGGCAGACAAAATTCTTGTGAGAAACACCACATACCCTTAGGCAGAAGTATGTAGAAGTGTAAGACTGTGCCATTCACATAGTAAATCTAGATTTCCATTTCCATTTTCTTTTATTTAACAAAACATAACACATAGTACATGCCAGGAATGTTTGAAGGATTTTGCATATATTCACTCATTTTTTATAATCTTCCCATAATAGACAGTAGGTTTTTTTGGATTTGTTTAGTTTTTTTGGTTTTGTTTAGTATTTTTGCTGCTAGGGATTGAACTCAGGGCCTCACACATGTTAAGCATGCAAGCTACCACTGAATTATACCTCAGGCCCTATTGCTATTCCCTTTCTACCAAAGATGAAAACAGGCCACAGAGAGCTCAGATAACTTGCCTAAGATCACATAACTAGGAAGTGGCCAAGCCAGGGCAACAAGTGGCCCCAGTCTGTGTTCTTCATTGCTATGTGACGTTGCCTCTTAGGTATTGTTATGAGGTTTCCAGAAAATGGCAATAAAGGTTCCTGTTCAAATAAACTCCATGCATTACAATAATATTCTGACAGAGGAGAATAATATTCTGTCCAGGAGAAAGAAGTGATTTTTCAAATCTGCACATAGGCAGAGTGGCCCTGTGCACCTTACATTCTGCCTTAGCTGTTAGCCAGCCCCTGGTCCTCTCCAGAGGACTGCTATTGAGTCAAGGGGACTGTGGGGATACCTACAAGTACAAGACATCTCAGAAAGTTCTAGGGTGTAACCACTCCCACTCCCCTGGTTTGGCATGGGTGCCCCTAACCAGCCTCTATGCCTCCACAAGCACCATCAACTCACCTCGGCTTCCTTCAAGCGCCGTTCAAACCAGCCCTTGGCTCCATCCATGGAGTGTACCTGAGCTTGAAGTTCTTCCACCATCTGCTGGAGATTTTCCAGCTCCCGTGTTCGGGCCTGGAAGGAGTAGACAGTCATGGGCCATGCAGGCAGAGGAGTGGGCACGTCATACATGCCATCTACTGGCCCACTGGCAACAATGTGGTCCCCAGGTTTTAGAGGAGGAAGGGCAGGGCTGGGGGTGTGGCTCAAGTGGTAAAGCACTTGTTTAGCAAGTAAGAGGCCCTGGGTTCAATCCCCAGTACCAGGAAAAAAAAAGGAAAAGAAAAGAGGAAGAAGGGCATCATCACCAACCCACCCACCTTCTCCTCCCGGATCTGCCCACGGAGCTCTTCCTCCTGTCGCTTCTTGTCTTCATGCAACTCTCGGAGCTCGCGCTCATAGCGTGCCCGCACACCCAGCACCTCCTTCTCATGGCGAAGTCGGATTGCTCCCAACTCTTCCTTGTGCTGAGACTTCTCCTGCAGTGTTTCCATTGCTAGCTCATCCAGCATGACCTTCCGCTTCTCAGCACTCTGGGGGCCAGGAAGAGGGGCAGGAGGATGGCAGTCACCCTCCTCCCCCAACACCAGAAAAGGCCCACCATCCTGCTCCTGTGCAGCAGGAACTGGCCAGACTCCATCTCCACCCAGCCCTTTCAAATTGGCTGAGTCATTCGGCCGCCCTTATGAAAATGGTCACTTTCTTTCTCTTCCCATTCCCAGAATTTAACAATGTCACACCCTCCCCTCATCTCCATGGATTGAGCCAGTCCCTTTCCTTGTCCCCTTGGTGCCCACCTTCCGAGCCTCCTGGAGGTCCTGGGTTAACTGCTCCTTCTCCTGCCCTATTTCTTGAAGTTGTTCCAGCAGCCGACTATTGGCCCTTAATGACTCCTAACATAGGAACAAAGGGGATGAGTTTGGTAAGAGTCCCCTGTAAGTGCCAGTTGCCTGGGACATTTCTATTAGACCATATCCCTTCCCCCTGGAAGAGTGGGTGTTATCATCTAAATCATAATGGGAAATATGACAAACACTGCTGGTTGTTCCCCAGTATTCACTCTCCCCTACTTCCCAGTAACAGAGTTTGTACTTGGGCACATGGTGGTCTAGAAGACATCTCTTTCTCAGTTAGATGCAGATACGTGATTCATTGCTTTCTTGTTTTCTTTTTTTGAGATGGGGTCTTACTATGTTGCCCAGGCTGGCTCTGAATTCCTGGGCTCAAGTGATCCTCTTGCCTCAGCTTCCCCAAGAAGCAGACTACAGATGCATACCACTGCACCCAGCTTATGTGATTAATTTCTGTGGAACTGTATATATAAGTTAGGTTATGTTTCTCTCTCTCTCTCTCTCTCTCTCTCTCTCTCTCTCTCTCTCTCTCTGTTCTGGGAATATAGTTCAGGCTGGCCTCAAACTCACAATCCTCCCACCTCAGGTTCCCAAGTGCTGGGATCATAGATGTGTACCAACAAGCCTCACAAGTTATGTTTTATTCCCTGCCCCCTTTCCTCCTTTCTTTCAGATGAAATGCAAACATGACGATGAGGCAGTTTGAGCCACCATTCCTTGAGACTCACCTTTCTGATGATGTTATAAGCCATGAGCCACCATTCCTGATATAGAAGTCTTGTGTTGAAGGTGGCAGAACAGCAGTGGAGAAAAAAACCCAGCTCACTGGTGACTAGAAAGCTATCAATCATTCCTGAACAACTTACTCAAGTTACATATGAAGAGAACTAAACTTTTATCATATTTAAGCTACTATTATTATTGTTTCTACAGGTTGAAAATCCTTAATCCAAAAATCCAAAATGCTCCAAAATCTGAAACTTTTTGAGTGTAAAAGTAGAAAATTCAGCCAGGCATCGGTGGCTCACTCCTATAATCCTAGCTACTCAGGAGACAGAGATCAGGAGGATTTTGGTTTGAAGCTAGCCCTGGGCAAAAAGTTTGTGAGACTCTATCTCAAAAACACCCATCACAAAAAAGGGCTGGTGGAATGGTTCAAGTGGTAAGAGATCCTGCCTAGCAAGCGTGGGGCCCTGAGTTCAAACCCCAGTGCCACAAAAAAAAAAAAGGAAAATTCCACATCTGACCTCCTATGATAGGTCACAGTCAAAATGCAGGTGCAGTAAAAATATTGTATGAAATTACCTTCAGGCCATGTGTACAAGGTTTATGAATTTTGTGGGACTGGGGATGTGGCTTAGTGGTAGAGCACTTGCCTAGCATGCACACCCCCCCTGGGTTCCATCCCTAGCACCCCCCCCAAAAAAAGAATACAAAGGTATATAAATTTCATTTTTAGACTTGGGTCCTATTCCCAAGATATCTCCTTAAGTATATGCAAATATGCCAAAATATGAAAAAATCTGAAATCTGAAACACTTCTGATCACAGGCATTTCAGATAAGAGATATTCAGCCTATATTATGGAACCAGGATAGAGATCCTAAATAACTGAAGAGGGTCAGTCTTGCAGAAATGAAATAACTTGTGGTAGGACATACAGGTACTAGTAACTTAGGGATTCAGACCAGAATCTAATCCTCCTGACTGCACAATGTTCCCACAGCTCTTCATGGGAACTCTACTGAGCCAGTACTAGGAAACTACAAAACAGGCCAGAGCCAGAGGCATCACCTGGAGTTGGGAGTTGAGGTCATCTTTCTGTCCCATGAGATCTTTGTACTCAGCCTGCCGCTGCTGTAACTCAGTTGCCAGTCCAGTGGTCTGTTCCCGGAGCATATTCAGTTCCTGTGTCTTTGATGTTTGGATCTGGAGAAAGCAGTAATGATGAGAAATGGAATGAAAGGGACCCCAGGGCCCAGGCACAGAACTTGGGTCTCCTGGTTCCAGAGAGACAGGGAGAGAAGTAGGTAGTAGTAAGACAAAAAGAAAACATTACAAACAGAAAATCAGTGAAAGAAATGGATAAATGTGTATATTCATGCAATGAAATACTCTGCAGTAAATAAAATAGACCCATGCTACATATGGATAAACCTCACAGATACAAATGTGCCAGAAAGAAGGCAGAGATAAAAGAACATTGATTCCACTTATATGAAGTTGGAGAACAAGCAGAAGGAATCCGTGTTGCTAAAGGTCAGAATATTGGTTACTTCTTTTCTGGGGAGTACTCATGGGAAGGGGTAAAGGGAACCTTCTAGGGTACTGAAAATGCTCTATAGCTTGATCTGAGAGTGGTTATATGGAGACAGAAAGATAGGAAGATGGATGGATAGATAGGATCACTGAGTATAGACAAGATTATTACATTTCATGCACTTTACTGGAGAGAAACTAGAATGCCAGAGAAACAGGAATGGATGGCCAGAGAGAAGAGGGCTGAAAGCCAACAGAAAGGAAGGACAGAAAGAGATGGCAGAGAATAGCATGGGGTTCAGACCACACTACCCAGATATGGAACAGAAGCAGAGCTTGGGGGACTTGGGGAGGCATCAGCAAGGTGTCCTGTACCTGTTCCAGAGCAGCCAGGCTAGTCCTCAAGGCATTGTTCTCAGCCAATAGCCCTTCCACTTGTTCTTGTGCATCTGCACTCTGGATGGACACCTGGCCCCAACCCCATGACAGGTGAGAGTGGGTCCAGTACAGAGGGACAGGACCTACCCACAGCCAAGAAAGGAAAACAGACACACAGACCAGAACTAGAAGTAAGACCCCTGGGGCACTACCTGCCTATAAACATACCTCACTCAGTCTGTCCCCACCATCAACCCAGCTCCATGAGCACAACCAGTATAATGTACCTGATCTTGGAGGGCCCGCAAAGCTGCTGCATGCTCCAGGCGTTCCCCCTGCTGCTGATCTCTTAGTTCTGCCAAACTCTGTGGGGAGCAAGTGGTCAGGTGAACCCATTTGAGACCTCAGCCTCCCCTGGAGTGCGTATAACTAATGGACTCTCTCCCTGACCACACAAAAGCATGTTCCTAGCACCTGTGTCTTGGACTACCCATCGGAGATCTCAGGTTTACCCCGACTCTAGGGCTGCAAACACTCCCCCTACCTCTGTCCCACCTAGGAGTACCTCAGACATACCTAAGCTTCTGGCCCTAGCTCCTGAAGAGCTCAAACTCTCTCAGCCCCGCTTAATATGAGGTCTCACACTTGTCCAGATTATAGCTTGGGAGCCCCAAGATTCCCAGCCCCTAAAGATCTCAGATGTAGTCAGCACCCAGGGACTACAGTTTCACCCAGACACTAGACCCTAACCACCAGTAGTTTCAGACACACTCAACCCCTTTTTCCCATGCTCCAAAGAGTCTCAGACCCATACAAACTCCTAGTCCCAGATCCTAGAGATCTCAAACTCACACAACCTAGTTTCCAGCTCCTGGAGACATCTCAGACTGACCCGTACTCCTGTCACTCTTCTTCTTCTTTTTTTTTTTTTTTGGCAGTACAGAGGTTTGAACTCAGGGCCTACACCTTGAGCCATACCACCAGCCCTTTTTGTGAAGGTTTTTTTCAAAATAGGGTCTCATGAACTATTTGCACAGGCTGGCTTCGAACTGCTATCCTCCTGATCTCTGCCTCCTGAGTAGCTAGGATTACAGGCGTGAGCCACTGGCACCCAGCTCCTGTCACTCTTCAGACCCAGCTTACTACCAGCTCCTGGGGATCTCAATTTTACCCAGGTTCCTTTCCCAGCCCTCATGTTCCCAGTTTCTAGGGCCCACTACTGAAAGTTTGCACCCATGTTCTTGGCCCCTAGAAGTCTCAAATGTACTGGCACCCAGACCTTAAAGGTCTCAACATCACCCAGCTTCCAGTGGGAAAGTTCCAGAGCTTGGATTCACTCCAATTCCTGTTCCCTGTTCCCAGTGGGAATTTCATATTCATACAAACTTGTGGCATACAAGCCCCCAAGTCCTCAGCTCCCCCACTTCCCAGGATCTGATTCATCCAGACACCTATCCCAAACCCCAGGGCTCTCATAGCTTCCCATTTTCTTAACACCTGGAGGAGCTACACACATCTAGTCCTTCCTACAAAGGAAATATCGGACTCCCCAATCAACCTCCATGGACCTCAGATCTCCCCAAACTGCCAGCCCTGATCCCCACCACAGGGATCTCAGTACCCAGCCCCTCACCTGATTGGCAGCCTCGAGTTCCTGCTGCAGCTTCTGGGTGCGAGCCAACTGGGCTTTGAGATCAGCTTCTTTCCGCTGCTGTAACTCCTCTATCTTGTTCCTATGGGTGACAAACACTGGGCGCATTAGGCATGACTTGAGGCCCAGTCTCCCAGCTTTGCCCATTCTGCTGGGCATGATTCCCATTTATCCACCACTGCCCCCATGATAGTTACCTGCTATCATTAAATAGCGTCTCCTTCTCTGTCTGCAGACGGCAAAAACTGAGTACAAAAAGACAGACATAAATGGGTCATTAACAGGAGTCATTTCCCCTTTAGGACCCCAAAACTCCGGAGAAAAAAGAAACGTACCTTTCTTGTTTCTTTTTCAGTTTTTCAGAAAGCTGGGGGGAATGGAAAGAGTGAAAAAAAGTGATAACAATGAGAATAATATTAATAAAAACAAAAATAATATTCATAGATACTTCTTACTAAATCCTTTCTTTTTGGGGGGCAGTACTGGGGTTTGAACTCAGGGACTCACACTTGCTAGGCAGGTGCTCTACCACTTGAGCCACGCCACCAGCCCCTGAGTCCTTTCTGAAAGACAGGATTTACTTATGCCATCCTATGGAATTCTCAAAACAGCCCTGAGGATTAAGAACTACTGTTTTACAAACAGGGAAACCAAGTCTCAGAAGGGTTAAGTAATTTGGTTGCCCAGCTGGTCAGCAGCAACAATATTATTTCTAGCTAGATCTCTTGGGTACCAAAGGCATTTATGCTCCTAAAATAGTGGTCAATGGTCACATCATAGAATGGCTAGGCTGGGAGACCCAGAAAGCAGGATCCTGATTGGTTTGTCTGACCACGAGGCCTCCAGGTTTTAAGAGCCAGGAGTCTGTAACTCCTTAGATGAATGAATGAATGGGCAAAGTTGGGAGGAAGCAGAAGGAACGGGGACTGCCATGCACAGACAGAGTGGGAGCACGCTAGCCTATTCCATATTGAAAGCAACTGAGAAATATGTGTGAGCCTCTCCTCTTTGCACATGATGAAAGTGAGGCTCTGAGGAGGTGTAATGCCCCTTCTGCTCTGTTAGGAAAAGCCCAGCAGCCACACCTTAGCAAGTTCCTCCTGTAGTCTGGATGTTTCAGCCTGCTTGGAACTCTGCAGGGCAAAATAAGGGATGGGGTTGTTGTCAGCAAGGATTGGGGAAGGCCTCTGCTTTCCCGAGGCCTTCCCCTGTCCTCCTGTCTCCCTCACCCCTCAGACCATGAGATGGTGATGTCACAGACATTTCCATGGGACCACAGGCAGAGGCAGGGCATCTGCCTGTCTCCTGGCACCCCAGCTCCTACACACCCAGATTCACCTCCAAGCCTTGAAGCTGCTCCCAGAGCAATCTCTTTTCCTCTTTCTCCATTTCCCATTTCAGCTCCACTTCTGCTAATGGCAGGGGGGGCGGGGCTGTGGGGGTTGGGTCTCCTGGGGGATCCCCTTGGCCCTCACTGACAGCTGAGGACTTCACAGCCTCTTTCCCATAGCGCTCCTGCAGGGCTGGTGGGTAGAACAAAGATGTATAATAAATGAGGTCGTCTCTGAAGTCCCTTGTCATGACTCCCATAGAGAGAACTGCCCTTCAGCCTCTCAGGTTATATAGACCCTGCCCCAAAATGACCACAAGCACCATCCACGCTTCTCAAAAATCATTTTAAAACCTTACCAACTTCTGAGATCCTGTTTACCATACTGTACCCCTTATTTATAGCTGAATCCTTCCTATAACTTAATTCCCACCCATATTCCATCAAGGCTCCTTCCTGATCACGGAAGCAGCACCAATTACTACACAAGCCCCAGCTGCTCACTAACGGCCCACACATCAGGACCTTCCCATACTTTACTGAGCTTTCAGCTTTCAGTCTAGACCCCACTTACAATCTGGGCTCAGAATCTCCCCAACACTTTCCTTCATATTCTCCACCTAGCCAATATCTCTTTTTCAACATTCACAGTGCTGCTCTGTTAACCTTTGCTAGGTACCAGGCCCTGAACTAAGCACAGAGTAATACAATCTCTACTACCTTCTTCTAGACTTCATTGTGCACAGTATACATGAGCAAGTTTTGGCTTAGAGAGGTGAAATGGCTTCCAAAATCCAAAGCCACATGCTGGTTCAGGGCAAGGCCAAGCCTCACTCTGAAGCTCTTTTCCTTCCTCTGAGAGGACTTGCTCTACTCAAGACGTGAGGCTGCTGCATCCCCAGGAATGCCTCCATGTACCTGCCACATTCTTCTGCAAGGCTGTGTTCTCTGCTTGCAGTCTCAGCAGCTCCCCGTCCACATGTGGCCCAACTTGAACAGCCCCTGTTCCAGCAGCCCCTTCCTTCAGTTGCTGGTTCTCCTGCTCTAGCTGTTCCATCTGGCTGCAGAGCTGAGCAGGGGAAGAGAGAGACAGCAGAGAATCAGCAAATCAGAACAACATTTGCTAAAACATACATAGTGCCTGGCCATACATTTGCAATTCATTTTATTCCCATAAGAACCCTATGATATAGGTGTTCTCACACCTTACAGATAAGGACACTGAGGCACAGAGATGTTAAACAACTTCAAATTCATACATCTGTTAAGTGGTAAATTCCAAAAGAATGAGAATACCGAGAACAATTTTTCCCTTGCCCACTTCCAATCTCTTGGATGTAACTGAAGACTTCAGACTCCTCTGGAAGTTGTCAGCACCATGGATAGCCCCCACTACTGCCCCATCTGTAGATTACTCTGTCCTGGATCCTCCCTTTCAGCCCAGGCACCACAGTTTTCAGGGCATTTCCAGAGACAGTACTGCCTATAGTTCTTGCATTGCCAGCCTTTGGCATGCAAATAAAACTAAGCTAGGCCTCTGCTCACCTCCTGGCTAAAACCACAGTTCTCACAGCAAGATGATCCCTCGTTCCTACTTTCACTTCAGACTACTGAGGCCCACCAAGAATTTTTATTTTTATTGTTTGGGATATTTTCTAACCAAAACATTATTTCTTTCATCCAGTTCTTCATATGACTAACTTCTTTGCATCCTTCAGTGCTTTCCTCAGATATTCTTTCAAGTAGTATCACTCAACACAGAAATTCCAGTACTCGTAACACCACATATTCTTTTTCGTTCTTCCTTCCTTCATTCCTTCCTTCCTTCCTTCCTTCCTTCCTTCCTTCCCTCCCTCCCTCCCTCCCTCCCTTCCTCCCTCATGCTCTACCACTGAGTTACATCCCCAGCCCTCTTTTTTTTGTGTGTGGTAGTACCAGGGTTTTAACTCATGGCCTCATGCTTACTAGGCAGACAATTTACCACTGAGCCATGTCCGTGGCCCTTATATTTGTTACTTTCTTACCTAGCATTAATCACAATTAAGTTTTTTTGTAATATACAGCTACAAGCACAGATTCTGAAAACAGATTGCTTGGATATAAATTCCTACCCTGCCATTTACTAGCTAGGTGACCTTGGAAAAAATTACTTAATTTCCCTTGGGCTCAGTTTTCCTCATCTGTTAAATAGGAATACTAAAAATATCTCAGTCTTATTTTAAGAAATAAATTAATAATGTAGACTACTTCAAGTGAAGTATTTCTTGGTATACAGGAAATACCATATAAATTTCAGATATCACTACTATTATTTGTTTACTACATCATAGCTTCCCATCTACTCACCCCCAAAATGTAAGTTACCCAAGAGTTGGGACCATTCTGTGCTGGTCACAACTGTATTTCCAGAACACAGAGCACATAACAGGTTTTCAATAACTATTTGCTGAAGGAACAACTCAGCTGGAATGTCTTGGCAAATAACAGACGAAGGCAGCTTAGCCCCAAGTCTCCCTGTGAGTACTTCCAGTGCTTGAGAGGAGTAAGAAGGTGGCTATGATGATGGTCTCTACACCTAGTCCAGTGACCAACCCAGAGCAACACACAAAGACATGAATTAAATTTATGGAAGAATTCTACTCAGGAGGCAGAAATGGGGGGATCAAGATTTGAGGACAGCCCAAGGGAAAAAAGTTAGCAAGACCCTGTCTCAAAAAAACAAGCCAGGCATGGCGGTTCATGTCTGTAATCCCAACTACATGAGAGGTGTAGATAGGAGGGTCATGGATCAAAATGGGCCCTGGACAAAAAACATGAGAACTTATCTGAAAAAATAACTAAAGCAAAAAGTGCTGGGGACATGGCTCAAGTGGTGGAAAACTTACCTTAGCAAGTACAAGGTGCTGAGCTCAAAACCTCAGTACCACAAAAAAATGATCTAACACTTCCATAGCTGATAGGCTCTGTTGTGACTTATGCTTAATCCTCACAAAAGCCCTGTGAGATAGGTGCAATCATCATCATTTCTATTTTAACATCTGGGAAACAAGAAACAGGAAGGCTAAGCAACTCACTGAAGGTTATACTTAGTAAAAGGTAAGGCCATGATCTTAGACTAGGCCTTCTGGTTCCAGAGTCCCTGCTCAGAATCACTACTTAAAAAACTGCCTCTCCTGGCATTGTACCTGCTTAAAGGTTGTTTTTTGAGGTATTAAGCAGTGTATTCTCAAATAGAGCCTTGGAGATATGAAAGAATTAGCCAATCCAGGATGAATCACCTAGAAGAAGTGGAATCCTAAACTTATGTCAGATGAAGGGAAGGAAAAGGGAAAGTACCTCAAATACCTTTCCATCCCATATTAAGCAAAAGAACTTTACCTAAAATCCCACAAAACATTGGGCACAATAGCACCAGCCCTAAACTATACATGGAAACTTGAACCGCAAAGAAAAGGAGTGCCTTGGCCAGGAACCAAACAACCTCAGAGTTCAAAGCTTTCTATTCCCACCACTACAACAGATGGCCCAATCTGTAAATCACTGCCCCCAGCAACAGACCGGGATCTGTTTCAGTACCACGGACAGTGCTTCAGGGCCAGACCCTGTCCAAACACCCTCTGCAGCTTAGGTTTACTCCTAAGCCATGGCCCCTACCCATACACACATGGATGCCCCATTCCCGCCACCCCCATCTATCCCGGGCACTAGCACCTTGCTGAACTCGGCCATAAGCGTGCTGTTCTGCAAACGGAAGTCCTCTTCCTGGCTGTGCAGCTTTGCCTGCAGCATCTCGTTTTCATTCAGCAGTACCTCGACTTCCTGCAGTGGCAGAAATGGGCCAAAACTCCAACAGGGGTAGAAAAGATGGGGAGGCAGGGCAGACAAAGAAAGGAAGAAAATGACACAGCGGGAGAGCATAGGGTACAGAGAATAAGGCAGTATAGGAAGAGATGTACAGGGAGATATAAAATGAGAGAGAGATACACACACACGGGAAAGTAGAAGGGAAAATGGGGAGGGAAAAACATGAAAGGAGGGGGTTGAGAGGAAAGAGAGGAAGATAACAATAGGAATAAGGGAGGTAGAGAGATGGGAAAAGGGGTGAAGATAGGGAAGGGGGGCAAGATCAGGAGGCAGAGAGAAAAAGAAAAGGCAGGAAGATAGGAATAGAGAAATCACCAGGGAAAGAACAGAACAAAGAGAGAAGAGAGGGGGTCAGGGAAAGAAATGAGTCAGAAAGATAGAGAAATGGGGAAGAGAGGAATGAGGAGACAGAGAAAAAGAAAGAAAAAGCAGAAAAGAGAAATGATGACAGAGATAGGAACAGGTAGAGGAGAGGCAAAGGAAAGGTTGAGGAGGTAAACAAAGTCAGAGAGAAGGAAATGGGAAGACACAGACATGGACAGAGAGACAGAGAAAAGGATAAAGAAAGGGAGAAAGATATGCAGAGAGATAGAGGATGCAAGACAAACACAGAAAAACAAAGACAGACACAGAAACACGTGGCAGTAAGGAAAAAACAGGTGCAAGGGCACATACAGAGAAAGGAAGGCCAATATGAGACCCCAGCACCCAGAAATATCCCCACACTAAGGCACAGTCTCACAGACACATTCACCCACCACAGATCCCCTTACCTGAGCTTTCTTGCTCTTGCTCAGTGCCTAAAGGGAGGGGTAGGAAGAGAACTAAAATGAACAGCAATGGACCCCTCTGTAGGGTATGGAGACTACTGTGGCAAGCGTTCACGGAGGACAATGATGACATGGGTTATGGGATGGGAGTGTATTCAATATCAGAACTTTCATGACAATTTGGAGCTCACAGAAATGACAGAATGATTAAGGGAATGAGAATTCCTGCTTTGCTGGTGCAGCATGCGGAAATCTTACTTTCCTCTATTCTTTGAAGTTGGGGAACGTCTTAGTATTTAACTTTCTATAGACTGGATCTCCAAACTGGGAAATTGTGACAGATGGCTACATCTGTCCAAACATATCTATGTCAATTACCCCTGCCCCACCAACATGGAAACTGCCACTTCCCTGCTGGGCAGGCCAGAGCATTTCCCATTTTCCTGTCTACTACATTTTATGCATTCTGGATTCCTTCATCCAAAAAATACTTACTGAGCACATATCATATGGAATATTGTGCTACACATTCAGACAGAGCAATGAAGAATGAGACAAAGGGGGCTGGGGACTTAGCTCAAGTGGTAGAGCACCTGCTTAGCAAGTACAAGGCTGAGTTCAAACCCCAAGACCACACAAAAAAAGAATGGACCATGAATGTCTTGAGGGGCCGTGATAGGTTATATTCTACCTCATATTTAGAAACCTGAGAGGTGGGTTTGGTCTCATTTTACTAACAGGACCAGGACAGGGATGGGAGGTAGGAGCACAAGATAGGAGTGTGGGTGGAGAATGGGAGGCAGATTGAAGGCAGATTTACTGATAGACTTGACTATTTAGTTAAGAGTTAGTGATTGGGCTGGTGGAGTGGCTCAAGCGGTAAGAGCACCTGCCTAGCAAGCGTGAGGCCGAGTTCAAACCCCAGTGCCACAAAAAAGTTAGTGATTAACGCCAGGTGTGGTATGCACATTTATAGACCTAGTAATTCAGGAGGCTTAAGGCAGGAGGGTTGCTCAAAGCCAGGAATTCAGGGCCAGCCTGGGCAACATGACAAGATCCCCTCTCAAATAAAAAGTTAGTGAATGAAGGCTGGGGATGTACAGTGTTTGCTTGCATGCATGAGGCCCTAGGTTCAATCCACAGCCTCACAAAAAAGTTAATGAGAATGAATAAGTAATTAAGATTGGAATGAATTAAGAGTAAATTAAGATTAATCAATAAATTAAACAGAACAGGGCATGGTGGTACACATCTATAACCCCAGCACTTCGAAGGCTAAGGCAGAAGGATCATGAATTCAAGGCCAGCCTGGGTTATACAGCAAGACCCTGACTCAAAAAAAACAAACAAACCACAAAAATTAATTAATGAATTAATTAAGCAGGATTAAATAAAATGAACGAACTAAAGATACTTCCAAGGGGAGTCTTTAAATGATGAGATGAAAACAGCACATAACATTAGGTTTGGTTCACTGTAGGTGTTCACTGGCTGGGTGAATGAGTCAGGTAGGTAGGTAGAGGGAAGCAGGGGATGGGTGGAAGAAGATACCTTCTGAGCTTTACTGAACTCCTTATCCAGGTAGGCAACTTTCTGCCGAAGACTGGCAAGTTCTAGTGTGGGGAAAGCAAGAAATCTCAGTCTCAGGCAGTGGCAAGAAGTCAGAGTCTTCCTACCAGGCCATGGCCTCTGTCCCCCAAAGCCACCCCCATCTAATGAAACTCTCTTGACTCACCAACACCATTCTTGCGTAGTTCATCCGAAAGCTGGTAGTTGTTTGTTCGGAGTTCCAGGAGCTGAGCCTTTGGGGAAAACAGAGAGGCAGAAAAGACTTGTCAGGAAAGCCCTCCTACCCCCGCCATAAAGCAACGAAGCCCCCAAGCTGTATGGACTGGACTGGTGCCTTCCACATGCCTCCTCAGCCACTCCTTAAGAGCTATGCATGCTGCATCCTCAATGAGTCTCTGTCCCATCTTCTCCAACTCCACTAGTAACTCCAACCAACCTCTTCCTTCCATCTCCCCCATCAATCCACTCTGCACTTGAGCCATGGCCGAGCGCTGACACAGTCAAGCTCCCGCTCATGCTGTTCCTTGACTCTCTATACGCACAGGATTAAGTTGCTCCTCATCTTGGCTGACCTCTTCACACACTGAACACCACCCTGGCCAGTCCTGGAGGCCCCTGAGGGCAAAGGACAGGGGACTCCCTTCCTACCTATTTCCCAAGGGAAGAGGGTCTGGTATTCCCCTCCCCAACTTTCATTCTGTCAGGGGACTTCCCAGGGTCCTGTCACTTCTTAAGGTTCTCAAGCATGTCCAGGTTCCCTTCAAGAATTAAAGGAATGTGAAGTATAGGCCATTCCAAACAGCGCACTTCTCTCCACCAGTTCTGTCGGGCCCTGAGGCTGGCTCTTCCCACCCCTACTCACTGTCTCCTACTCCACCAGGACCTTTCTCTCTCTCTCAAAGCACTGTGTGTCTCCACCACTCACCACCTGGTGGTCTGCTCAAGGTCAGAGGGCTTGCCCTCTACAGAATCTTTCTTGCCCCTGCCTTCTTTATGACCTCAGCGATCAGTCTCTGAAAGTTCCAGTCCAACTGGAACACCCTTTCTATCCCCTTGGAATCCCTCCCCCCAAAAAGCCCAATGGTTTTCCCTCATGCATGGTAGGATGCATTTTCCTCATTCAAGGGTCGCCCCTCCCCCCCCTCACTCCTCACAAAACCTCCCGTTATGATCCAATGGGATGACCCTACACCTTTCAGGGTCTCTCAACACAAGGTGTTGGGTGGGTCAGGTGGATTGCTCTTACTCCCCTGCACAGGTTATGGTGGTCTTTCCCATTTGCGGTCCAATGATCCCGTGTCCTTCATACAGGGACAACTGTTTTCCCTCATTCAAGGTCCAGTAAGATTACCTCTCCTCACTCAAGAGTTCCTTCCTTCCCCCCCACAGGCCTCTAATCAGAGCTCCCCCTTTCAGAGTCTACCCCAGTAAAGAACTCTCTCAAGAAGGGCCCACTCATAGTAGAATGCTATCACACAGTTTCATAGTCTCCAGAATCAAATGGTCAGAATACCAAGACAGGGTACCTCCCAAAAGTCCAATGATCTCCCCTCTGTGAAGTCCAAGGTATCCCTCTTTTACCTACTTTTGTCCTGGCCCCACTAGGGATTAATGGTATTACCCATTCAGGGCCTTCTTCACCTCAGGCCTAATTGGATCATCCCTAATCATCCAATAGTACCGCCCCTCTTAGGATCTCCACCTCCCAGGAACATATCCGGGGTCTTTCCCCAATCCCCTCACATAGTGGTATCTCCCACAAACTTTCCACCTCCTGCCAGCTAATGGTATTGCCTTCCAAAGGGCTCCCCCCACGATGACGCAAACGGCCCAACGCCTGTTTCCTTCCTCTCCAGACAAAATGGTTTCGCCCTCTCAGAATCTCCTTCCTTCAAAGCCTAACGTTATCACCGCCGATGGTATGCCCCACATAAGGGCCCAGAGATCTCGTCCCCCCAGGACTGAATAAGGTATCGCCTACTCAAGGACGCTCGCCCCCGCCCATAAGGCTAACTCAATCCAACCTTCAGAACCTAAATAGTATTCTCACAATTCAACAGACTCGCCACTCACAGCCTCAGTTTCCCTTCTCCAGACCAACCACTCAGACTCAAGGTCCATCCCAACCAACTCCTCAGAGCCAATGGCACGACCTCTCTCTACCCTGCCCTCGGTCGCCTAGCCCGGTTGTCTTTCCAATGGCGAGCGGCACCTGCATCCGCTGAAACTCCTCCTCGGACAGAGCTTGCGCCATGTTACTCCCCCCCCGCCCCCCCCACCAGCTCTCTGCGCAGCCTCAGCTCGTGCCTACTGTCAGGATTCGGTTCGGACCTAACCACTGGCCAGGAATGAAGGGGGAGGAATCTAATTCAAAAGTTCTGCATTTTAGAGATGGAGAGAAGAAAATAAAAATGGCAGGTCATGTGAATTAATAGTTTAATGCTTTTCCAGATTGTAAATCATCTGGTCTGGTTTTTGAGCTCTATAGACTGCCCATTATTGTTGCGCGATCTTATAGCCTCCCCGTCGCATGGGTGAACTCGTCGCTAGGGAAGTGTTTGCCGACAGAAAATCACCCTTCTGAGGTACTCCTTTAATGAGAGTGGTTGACTTAATAACCGTGGAAATGAAAGCGGAAGCTTTCCTCTGGTTTGGTTCCCGCCCTCCACTGGGTGACCCCTGAGGGGAATCCTGCCTCTGGTGAAGACTTACCTTTAAAAAAATTTTTGACAATGATTTTATTATCCTGACGCTGCACATCATGTTAGGTAAAGGACCTAGCAACCAACAAATTAAAAATACCTAAGAAGAAAGATTGGCCGCGAATCCCCTCTCCCAAACAGGTCCATTAAAAACAAAACGAAAACAAAACCTAGGGCCAATGGTGTAGATCAGGGGTAGAAAGCTTGCATAATCAGCGCGAGGCCTTAGGTTTGATCCTCAGCGCTGCAAAACAACAACAAAAGCAGGACAGTGAAACACCAAGAACATTGAGTTAAGTACGTAAATCCATTATAAATCTCACTGATTTGAGAGTAAGAAATAGTATCTCATTTCATAGGAGTGAAATGATTAAGCCTGCTGTGGGAAAGTATTTGCACCAGGACTCCTTCTTTAAAATTTTGTAACATTGAATTTTAAGATACACTATCTTTCTATATAAATACATTGATACAATTCAGTGAGTTTTGACAAATGTATACAACAATGTAACGATTTGTGCCTCATCCCAGAGAACCAAAGTGGCTTCCTGTCATGTAGATTACATTTCTCTTTTGTAAAATTTTATACAAATGTAAGGACACAGTATGCATATCCTCTTTTGTGTGTTTTTTTCCCCACTCATCATCACACTTTTGTGAGTCATCCAAGTTGCCTATCGTTATTTTTTTCTTTTATTGAATAGAATTCCACAGTATGGATGTATCATTCTAGTATAGTTTGTATTTCTCTTATTATGACATCTTTTCATGTTTCTCTCTTTTTTGTTGTTGTTGTTTTTTGGGCTTGAGGGGGAGTTTTTTGTTTGATTTTGGTTTTTCATTTCTCTTTTTTGAGACAGGGTCTTGCTATGTAGCCTAGGCTGGCCTGGAACTCACTATGTAGCCCTGTCTGGTGTCAAACTCAAGATCCTCCTGCCTCAACCTCCCAAGTGCTGGGATTACAGGTATGTACCACCACACTTGGCCTCATCTTTTCATAAGTTTAATAACCATTTTAATATCTTTTTTTTTTTTGCTGTTCTGGGAATCAACCCAAGGCCTCCCACATGCTAGGCAATGCTTTACCACTGAACCACACCCCCAGCCCTTAATATCTTTTTTTTCAAATGTAGAAATTATCTTCACATCTTTTGCCAATTCTATTGGCTTTTTGGTCTTTTTCCCTCTCAGTTTTCAAGAGTTCTTTGTGTAGTAGAGATATTAACATTTCGCTGTAATATATATTCCATGTATTTCTTCCAGTTTGTCATTTATATTTCAACTATGTTTATGATCCCAGAAGCTATGTATGTACACTATGCCATATATATACACATATCTGAGTTATTTCTACATCTAGCTGTATTTTTTCTTTCCACAATGTTAGAATTTATTGAATAACAATAATTCACAAGATACATCTATTTTGTTGGCATTAATTCACCAAGTACTAATGACTTCACTTGATGTCCAGGACAATCACAGATCCTTTTATTCTGGCTTTAATTCCTAACAATAACTTTAAGATTACAAATTACACTTTGTACAGAATGGATAAGAAAAGGTTAAAGTGGCCTCACTGAAGGCAAGAGCAGAAAGCTGGTACAGATGCAAAGAGAGTTACTTCAGGTGGGTAGATAAGATATTAACATAAGGAACCCAGTCACAGAACTGTTGTGACACAGAGGCATACTGGTTCTGTCACTGGAGGATGGATGAGGGGGCTCCCACAGCTTCCAAGTTTCCATACAAAGTCACAGGTCCTTGAGATCCACAAACATGAAAGCATTTCAAGGTGCTGCACAAGGAGTCTCACAAAGTGGAAGTTTTAGCAAGATTTATTTTAGTGTAACAAGATAAAGTATAGACAAGTTGGTGAGGGAAGAAAAAGAGAAATGTTTCCTGTTCCCCATGTAGGAAATGGGAGCAAAGACTCCATTTAGCTGTATTTTAAGATGCATTTTAAGATTAATGTGACTTGATACTGGTCTTCCCTACCATATGCATGCCTTGTTCTAGATTTGCCTTCCCGCTTGTCTATAGCCTCCTACTCCTACAGTGAAAAACCTGGCTCCAACCATACATGTCCTTAATCATTCAATCCCAGTGTACATGTATAGCAATATCAAAACTGTTAACCCACCCATATGCCCATGGGAAACCACTAACTGCTTTTGTAGGGCTCCTTTTTTTTTTTAGCCTTTGAGTTTCTACACCATTTTCCAATGTGACCCAGGTCAGCAATCCTCCGCCTTCACCCCCTTCAGTGAGGTTGTGTCATACATTTTGTAATAGAGTTAGATTATGTTGTCACAGTCTCCATCCTTGGCCTCCTGGTTGATTGTGTGTGTGTGTGTGTGTGTGTGTGTGTGTGTGTGTTTGTATGTTATTGGGGTTTGAACTCAGGGCTTATACCTTGAGCCACTCTACCAGCCCTGTTTTGTGATGGCTTTTTTCCCCTGAGAACTATTTGGCTGGACTGGATCACTGACTGTGATCCTCCTGATCTGTGCCTCCTGAGTAGCTAGAATTACAGGCATGAGCCATGGGGACCCAGCTGAGACTGGGGTTTAAACTGAGGGCTTTGTGCTTGCAAAGCAGGTGATCTCCTGTTTCAGCCACACCTTCAGTCTGACTTTTTCTTTGAGACAAAGTCTCTCTATGTATCCCAGGCTAACCTCAAACTTGAGATCCTTCTTTCTGCCTCAGCCTCCTGAGTGCTGGAATTACAAGCATGTACCACTATGCCCAGCCCTATACCTTTTTTTTTTTGTGGTACTGGAGTTTGAACTCAGGCTGTACAACTTGAGTCGCTCCACCAGCCCTTTTTTGTGATGGATTTTTTTGAGATAGGGTATCTCAAACTATTTGCCCAGGCTGGCTTTGAACTGCAGTCTTCCTGATCTCTGCCTTCTGAGTAGCTAGGATTGCAGGCATGAGCCACCAGTGCCCAGCCCTATATAAATTTTAATGTCTTGACTTTGGTACTGATTCTGTGGTTGTATAAGAGAATGTCTTTCCTTTAGAGAAGACCAAGACGGCTATCCTTAGAAAAACATAATTGTGATGTTGCCTTTGATTTGCATCTGGAGACCAGGCTGGTAAAGTTTGCAACAGTGAAAAGAAACTTTTCCTCAATAGGAGTGGCTGCAGGCACTGGTGGCTCACGCCTATAATCCTAGCTACTCAGGAGACAGAGATCAAGAGGATGATGGTTCAGACCCTGAGTTCAAAACCCAGTACCATAAAAAAATACCCAACACAAAACAGCTGGCAGAGTGGCTCAAGTGGTTGAGTGCCTCCCTAGCAAGCATGAGGCCCTGAGTTCAAAACCCTAGTATATAAAAAAAATGTGTATTGGGAAAAAAATTTAACATAACAAAAAAGAGTGACTGGGACTGGGGGTACAGTTCAGTGGTAAAGCATTTGTCTAGCGGGCTCCAAGGCCCTGGGTTCCATCTCCAGCAGCACTAAAAAATGAGTGACTGACTGTGACTAAACTGGTCATAGAAGAAATGTAGTTTGTGTTCAACTCTGGCCTTCCTTCAGCCTGGAATTCTGGTATGTGTTGGGGACTTACTGACCAGTTCCACTAAAAATCTTGGGCACTGAGTCTGAGTGTTCCTAGTAGACAATATCTCACACTTGCTGTCACACTTACTTGCTGGAGGGATCCTTGGAGAGGATTCCTGGAATCTTGTGCCTGCTTTCTTCCTGACCAGAGTCTGCAGGCCATGTTTCTTTTCTGTTTCCTCAGAGGAGGTACAGAGCATAAGGAAGCCTGTGTGTGGATTTCTCAGATCCTATCCGGGTCTTTTTTTTCCCTTATTGGTCCTGTTGTTTATCTATCTGTTCATTATAATGAATCCTAGCTATGCTGGGTCCTCAACTGAAAGGATGGTGTGGGAGTCTCAGCACAAATACAAACACAGAGAAAGTGACAGAAAGATAAAGGAAAGGTGGTAAAATGTTAACACTGGAGCAACTGGGGAGGGAATTATTATTTTGCAACTTTTCTACAAGCCTGAAATTGTTTCAAAATAAAATCTAAAACTGAAGTACTGGGGGTGCAGCTCAGTGCTAAAAAATTTTCCTAACATGCCTGTGCCAGGCCCTAGGTTCCATCACCAACATACAAAATAGAACGTTTGCATCTGTGTTCATGAAGGATAATTATGTAGGTTTCTTTCTTTCTTTTTTTTTTGGAATGACTTCTCTCTGGCTTTGTATCATAGTAATGCTGGTCTTACAGAATGTGCCAGGAAGTGCCCCACCTCTTAAATTTGCTGGAAGAGTTTGTTCAAAACTGGTATTATTTCTTCTTTAAGTATATAGTACAAGTCCCCAAGGAAGATATTTAGGCCTGGAATTTCCTTTGGGGGATGGTGTCTTACTGTAAATATAGTTTCATTAATATGTATATAGGGTTATTCTTGCTACCTATCTTTCCCAAGTCTGCATTGGCATTTTG